AATACGCTTCTGGTGAGAAACATCAAAGAATAGGATTGGTTTAAACTAAATATTTTACTAATGGTCTTAATCTTATATTATTTTCTACTCTCTAGAAGCCTCTAGAAAAATAAAAAAAAACCTATCCCCGTACATTTTTCCGGGGTAAAAGATGTTAATCTGATGTATGAGCTATATTATTGTAAAGTTTCATTAAAATCCATTCAGTAGTTTTTGCGCGAAAGAATAACAAACATCCATACATCCAGACATCTATACATCCTCACAAACTTTCACATTTATAATATTAGTAGGACACAAATTATATTGAGGAAAGTGTGATTAATTGATATAAAAGCAGTGACAAATGTAATCTATCTCATGTCTCAATTATAATAATAAATATTTCTACATTACAAACTAAAATAAATATTATTATATAGGCTGCTTACTATATTCTATAGTTATAGTTATAGTGATTAAAAATCGCATAACAAGCAATAAATTACGCGTGTCTGTTTTTACAAAAATAGACCGAATATCTATACTTATTATAAAAATAAGTCCCCCGGCCGCGTCTTTCTGTCCTCCTGTCTGTCCTCCTGTCTGTCTGTACGCGATAAACTCGAAAACTACTGAACGGATTTTTATACGGTTTTCAACAATAGAAAGAGTAATTCTTGAGGAAGGTTTAGGTATATAATTTATTATGCTTTTTATGTAAATTAGCTGAAAATACGGCGACAAATGTTGAAGAGGGTCGCAAAAAATCTCGCCAAATGGGAACTTTCCACGCGAAACGCCGCGTAAACTAGCAAAGATACAGTTTAAGTAATGTACTAGAGAATTCAAAATCTATAAAAAATGCTACAAAAAAGTCCGCGATAGCATATCTCTATCTCTTATACGGTTGACTTACAAATAACCACTTTTATGTTAACATTTTTAATTAAAAACATACGTTATTTTTCAAAGTTATTTTCTTTAGTTCGGTATTAATCCTTATCCAAATGAAATATTTTTAGTTAGCTTAGTCATTTAATGCAGATTAAAATTGCTCTTTACACTAAATCAATCAGATGAATAGTTTTTGAGATATCGTTGTTAGAAATAATTAGTAGCGAAACATTTTTAATGCTTGGCGAGCATTGAGATGCCTACGGCGAGTCCATCCCCTCTGCCACCGCATCGCTCGACCGCCTGCTCAAGCTATATAAACCGGGCGATGTAGCGCGCGATCCTAGGATACTTTTTACCGCGGGAAAATATCTATTTCTGAGGAAAAATACAAAAACTGCAATGTAAGAGTATATACTAATATGTAACACCTAAGAATTTAGTTTTTGGGTCATCTGAACGCGGGCGGAGCCGCGGGCAATGCTAGTAATATATAAAAAAAAATTAAACCAGCCAGGACTCGAACCCGAGCCCTTGTTATTGCTTGTTATTAATATATGTTGCAACAGTACCATCTCTTTTACAATCTAATATTCATGGCAACTAAAATGCGTGGTCTCCGGACTGTCCGAGTGTCCGCACTGAATAATTTACGCGACGTCAGCGTCCACGTGTTTATCTGGCTTATGTGGTACGTCCACATGGAAGTTATCGTGTAGAAATACGGTCAGGTCATCATTATTAATTATTAATATTATAAATGCGAAATGTGTTTTTTATTTTATTATTCTTTCGAATGCGCATCGATATGTGAGTTTTTAGACAAAAAAGAGATATGAGCTACATTTTATCCCGATACAATAAATGATTTCTAATAAACCATTTGCAAAAACTTAGCTACTACCTCCTAGCCTACATTTATTTATTTAGAATTTATGACAATTTACCGTAAAAAAATTAAATACGTATACTCGTAGTAGATATATTAACTACATACATATATAAATACCATAGTAAAATGACTCTAAATCTCCAGAAAATTCTAAAACCTAAATAGATCTTCCACTACAGTACACTACACAATGCCGTTTCCAACATTCATATCAGATTACTAGCAAGTGTCCATTATCTGCACATTTCAACTTACTTAGCGCTACTAACTTTGAAACCTAAGTTGCATGTACGAGATATTTCTGTTTAAAAATGAAGAAGAAAATATAAAATCCTCTTTAAATATAATACCAAAGAAAATAAGATTTTAACGACAAAAATCTTCGTAGGTTCATAAACAGATGGGTGTAGGACGATCTTACTTTGGATCTTATAGTATCAATATGGCAATTGTAACTATTATACAATTAAAACACACAAAAAACATTTATATGTATATATTTCTATATAGTTGACTTAGTGATCTAATATCTAGCTTGTACCGCTGCAAATTTTCCTAGACCTGGGTACCTTTATAGATGGGTTCGAGTCCTGGGTCAGGCCAAGTGTAATAACTAAGTTTTCTGTTAAAATATTCTCAGGTTCGTCAACCTTCGAACTCAAGAGAGTTAGGAAGTTAGAGATCCTGCGCCTTAGTTCTTACCGGTCGTGCCAAAGTATCGTCCCATCGGACTTTCGGTATAATATGGGATATTATCATAATACTTTCTTAAATTTACGCAAATATTTGACATTTTAAATAAAACTATATTTTCGAATTTTTTCGCCAGATGTCTCTCCCGTGACCATGATTGCTGTAAAGCATTCGAAACGTTGGAAACTAAAAATCAAAATAAATCCGCGAAAAAATCCGAAAAGATTGTTTTATTTAGGATATCATAATATTTTTATACGGCAGTAAAAAACAGTTTCTAACCAATCATAATTCATTCATTCATTCGATTTCAATGAAATATCGTCCTGTTCAATGTAATAATTGTCTTGATTGAATATCCTATTAAAAAACCAAGTTAAAAGTAAGCCCTTTCATTAGTAAGAGATATTTTTTGAATAATTCAGACACATTCAAGATACAAAACTTGGTTTTCTACAAAAATTCTATTTCTATAGAAGATAATACTTTCTTAGATTTACGCGAATATTTGACATTTTAAATAAAACTATCTTTTACTATTAAAATTATAAAAATGTTTAAAGTTAAAAAATATTGTAAGGTAATTTTTGCAATTTTCATTTTGTTAATTGTGGGTAGGCTGTCTGTAACAACTATACCTTCAAGACATGTAACACCTCAGTCTCTCCCGTGACCATGGATGCTGTAAAGCATTCGAAACGTCGGGAACCAAAAATCTAAATAAATCCGCGAAATAATCCGAAAAGATAGTTTTATCTATAGAAGATGTTTCCTTGAAGCAAAAAGATAAAATTTCCTTCGAAGATATTAGTTAGCAATTGAAAGCGGATGCTAGCTTTAGCTTCCTGCAATTTGTTCAGATCCGTGTAAAAGAAAATAAAAATGAGTGCTGCAATCTAAGAAAAATATGTTCAAAAATTCACTATTTTACTTAAAAACTTGTAGAAATCTTAATTTATGTTCGTAATTGTTACAATATAATTTTAAAATTTATAAAAGCTCTTAATGTGCCATCATGAACGCGACGTCGTGTATGTTGGAGAAAAACTTGCGTGTACCTTCACGAAATTGTATGAAAAAAATGAACTAAGCATTGATAAATTGAACTAAAATGATATATTTGTTTTATTCCAGACAGATGTTTTATTATACCTTCCTTATTTATATTTTCAAAGCTTATATTGCATCTCCAAAGTAAATTTAATTTATTCGCATATGTTTAAAAAAGTACTTAATATTCAAGTATTGGTTCATAGTACCTATAATTTAAGCAAATTATTGCTTGCTACTTACTGCTTAGCCCCTGTATACATTATTATTATGATCCATAAACTCATTATAAAGCTCGTAAAACTGAGAGCTTAAGCTTATATTTAATATGTCTAAAAGATTAAAATTCTATTTAACCAAACATAAAGAACAAAAACTTGTAAAATCCTTAATTACAACTTAAATATTCAGTAAATGCAATTTCAAGAAATACTTTACAGTGTTATCTTATTCTTATATTTTATACTAAAAACTTTGTTGAATCAATTTCTGAAGAAACTTATAAAATTTAGCTGTTCAAAGTTCTGAATTTCAATATTCATCTTAGAACATTCTATTGTGATGACTCCGCACACGATCGCCAATGCAACGTTCTAAAATATTTTTCGTGCTAATTTCTATCTCTTTGAAATTTCTTTGTTATAGAAAAGAATAAGACCAGAAAGCTTAAAAATACCGCTAAGTTTCGTAACAGTTAGTTGAGTAATTGTAAAGTTATATGAGCTTATAAAACTCAAATCCATAAAAATAAGATGCCGGTAGTAAATTATATTACGCAATTAAATTTATGATTTATTTAATTTTTTATTATTATTATATAGACGATAGTATGTTTATTTGTTTATCTTTTACATTGCCTGGTTGTAGTAGATTAGATAAGAACCTAAAGACAATAGACCTATATTGAATCAATATACTTTTTATCCTGGTAAATCAAATAACTTTGCCTTTGTCTTTAATGTACCTATACTAATATTATAAAGAGGCAAAGTTTGTTTGTTGAACGCACTAATTTCAGGAACTACTAATCCGATTTGAAAAATTCTTTTTGTATTAGATAGCCCGTTTATAAGGAAAGGAAGGCTATTGGCTATTTATCATATAAGTCTCTATTCCATACTAACTGAAGGTGAGAATATATATAAATAATTCTTGTATCATCATTAGCATTAGGCGTCTATGCCTCTGTGGTCTTGGCATAGTACAAAATAACATTTTGGCTTATCCATTAGCAACGTTCTTGAGGTCGCATTACTCTCGCATACTCTCGGGTTAAGTCCCTTAGGACATAGGTTAAAAATAGCTGCTGAAAGAAAAGGAACAAAACGAAAAAAAAACTACTTCAAAACCTCATTAATAATAAAATAAATAAAGTTGCTCTACCGCTACGAGTAGAATTTTGTTAAAATTTATATCATACCCTTAAGGCTAACAATGGACGAAGAAATTGTAGAACATACACAAATAAATAAGTTTTGTTTTGTTCCAGCTGCACTCGGAGTACCGCAGCACGTACAGATGGCACGAGTACAAGGAGCAACAGCAGCAACAGGGCGTGGTGAAGCAGCCCGCGCCCACGCCACCCTCCGCCCTGCCCATCGCACGGGGTAAGCCTACCTATATGTATTATTCTAATAATTTTATGAACTAGGTACCTGTTGTATTTGTATATTCGACTCCGTTAGAATTTTATTATTCGTATATAACAAAGAATAAAATTCTAACTGAATCGAATCTTTACACTAATTTTTTTTGAAAATTTTCTTATCTTATTATTATATTGGAAATAGTCATTATTATCGATACAGAGTTTGAATCTATAGTTTTTAGAAATTTGGTCTGCTTGTCTGGCTAGCTTGCATCATGAGAAAACCACTGGACAGATTTTGATGAAATTTGGTATGAGGATGATGCTGGTTATTCAGGTCATCATATAGATACTTTTTACTGCGGGAAAATGTCTCATCTCTGGGAAATCTGTACTAACTGTTAAAACGTAACAAGAATCGAAGCCGAGCGGAGCGAGGATGAGTACTATACTCGTACATATATAGTCAGGGACAGCAAGCTATAGTCTTGTCAGACTCTCCCATGTTTGCTTAAAGCTATCGAAACATCGGAAATAAAAAATAAACCCGCGATAAAATTCGAAAAGCTTCAATTAAATGTTAAACATTCGCAGTTTACAAAAGTATTAAAGTAGTAAAGTCTATTAATATACCTATAAGTAAACGTTATACGGCGACACGTCTGAATATTTCTTTTTCTAATGAAGCGCGTTTGTTCTGCTTGGCGAAGATGCTGGAGATTCTAATTTTATCCTATTTATAATAATATTATTTGATTAATCAATAATAATTCATGTGTAATTTTTTTAGTTCCTGTAAAAAATACATTGATATTACCTACTTATTATTATTACTTATTTAAGGAAGGAAGGAATATTCTTTGCTTTTATTCCTTTATTAGATAAAAAAAGCTACCATAATCGAGAATTTTTGTAAGTGAAAAAGTTGGGCGTCTCATCGAAATGAAGCTGCTCACGGAAAATTAGCTTGATACTAATCACTTGTAAAAATGGACCAGGGATCCCAGACTATAACTACCTTATTTATATTACCCTGGAGTTCATGAGTTAATATTTATTACATACATCATTAAAGTGTACTACAATTCCGAAAGAAAATGCTTGAAAAGGGTAACGATTTTATTTATAATTTCAACCATTTTTAGATTACTGATATTTTTATGTTCGGATAGAATTAATGCGGTATCAAAATCCTGAAACAAACGCAATTTCACAAATGTATTAGAAAGCGTGAAACAGGACTGAAGCGAGAGTCGAAATGTTAATATACCTATTCAATACGTCTTCCTTGCAAGATATATTAAAGATTAATGCTATAAATAAATTTCCTGTACGTACAAATAAACAAATACCTCTCTATCGTAATCTGTAAGATAAAAGAAAGAATGAATATTTTGTTTATCTTTTACTAGCGACTCACGCTCGCTCCGCTTGGGTTCGTCCCTAGTTACATTTTAACGTTTAGTATAGATTTCTCAGGGATAAGATATTTAACGCAGTAAAAGTATCCTATATGCTGATCCGGATAATCAGCTATCATTATACCATATCAAAATCTGGCCAGTAGTTTTCCCGTGATATGTTTTTAGACTGACAGACAAAAATCCTAAAAACTATAGACTCGACATCTGTATCGGTAATAATAACTATTTCAATAAGATTTTCCAAAAAATATTTAATGTACAGATTTATTAGTCAGATTTTAAAAATCCTTGTATGTCAAAGCCTATTTATTGAGGAAAATCATGAGCGTGAGAGATACTAAAGTATCACACTGCGACCCTTAGGAGTGGAATTATACCTAGATCAATAAACTACGCCGGCTGAGCCTCCTGAGCTAGCACTAGATGTTTGATTTAGCGATGTTTACAAGCTAAGCAAATCTTGGTCTCGAATTGATTGCAAGATTCTGCTATATATAAACTTATTCGTCTATGTGTAATATGCCTTAAGCGATATTTCAAGCAAAAAATTTAGATTTCTTGTAGAGAAAACTTTATAACTTGTAACTTTATAATTACATACATACGTATTTCAATCTGCACTTACGAGTATGTTACACTTTATGTTTTATGCTATTGACAGACTTCAAAATGAATTGTGTTTTTGAATGGAACTATCTTTTTGGATTTTGTCGCGGTTTTATATTATACTAGCGGCTCACCCTCGCTTCGCTCGGGTTCACCTCTAGAAAAGGACAAACAGATCTATCCCACGGGAACAGTACATTTTTCCGGGATAAAAGGTAACCTATTTGTTAGTCTGATGTATGAACTATATTATTGTAAAATTTCATCAAAATCCAATCAATAGTTTTTTGTGTACTAAGCTGTATAAGTTACTATAGTTTTTAGACTATCCCACGGAAACTCTTTAATTTTCCGGGATGAAAAGTAGCTGATTTGTTTTTGTCATGTATGAACTATATTATTGTAAAGTTTAATTAAAATCCAATTAGTAGTTTTTGTGTACCAAGCTGTATAAGTTGTTATAGTTTTTTAACTATCCCACGGGAACTTCATTAATTTTCCGGGATTAAAAGTATCTAAGTTGTTGCCCGGGGATATAAGGTACCACCATGCAAAATTTCATTTAAATCGGTTTAATATATTCGGAGATTAGCCCGTACAAACAGGAAAACAGACAAACAGCTCGCTCGGGTTCGTCCATACCTACGAATATGTTGTATTATCTCTTTAACCATTAGTCCAAATTATATGCAGTAAAAGGGAAAAGTCTTTTGTTTTAAACATTTTAGACGATAAATTTACTTATTTTGATAAGAATTCATAATTGTTGATAATATGACCAATAAACATGACCTACCGATTTAAATTATTTTTTTAATATAAAAAACTACTTTTTGTGACTTAAATATAAAAGTTAGACATATGTTGTCGCTGACTTTTTTGTAGGCATTATTAAGCTCTACAACTTTTCTCTAGAACATAATCATATATCTCTCATCGTTAAGGCAGCGTTCGTAAGAAACGTTTTCGTTCGAGCGTTTTTTCTCCGACTTACTTTGCAAATCCGACTACCATGAAAAAGTCTTTTCATTATTCGGGTTAATATATAGCCTATGACACTCAGAAAGAACATGGCTTTCTATTGGTAAAAGAATTTTGAAAATTGGTTCAGAAGATCCAGAGATTACCCCCTACAACGTCACAAACTCACAAACTCACAAACTCACAAGATCACAAACTTTACCTCTTTATAATATTAGTATAGACTAGCAGAACTCTCGGCTTGGCTCACGCTAAAACTACACAAAAATCTCTAAAAAGATAGTTTCATACAAATTTTCATCCCCTATTTTACCCCCTTATAAGTTGAATTTTGAAAAATACTAATACTTGTATTTGTTTAGTTTTATTGAAAAGTATATATACCAAGTTTCAAATAATTCTGATAATAAATATTTTTTTTGGATTGTATTATATCGTGTTTTCCCGTGGGAATTAAGTAATTTCCCGCAATGAAAAGTAGCCTATGTCACTCTCCAGCCCTCCAACTATCTTCACACAAAAAATCACGCCAATCCGTTACTCCGTTTCGACGAAGAAAAGAAGGACAAACAATACAAACACACTTTCACATTTATAATATTAGTATGGATTTTGGTTCCCGACGTTTCAGATGCTTTAACGGAAACATGATCACGGCGGAGTCTCTTTTGAAAATTGTAAAAGATAGTTTCATTTAAAATGTCAAATATTTTCGTAAATCTAAGAGAAAGTATTAGGACTTGTCTTTTTCTAATACATAGATTTTAATTCAAAAAATTCCACACTAGGGTTCGCATTTGTACTAAATCTCATTTTTTTATTTTATTACTTTCTAAAAGTGAGCTGATAAAGTACATGATATAATTTTAAGTTGAATTGAAAGTTATTTAAAGAGCAATTATTCATTAGCCATATTCATGTCTTTTTTTTGGACATTAACACACAGCACCATCTAGTTGCATGGTAAGCTACGAGGCTCGTATTATGGATACCAGAAAGTTAATACACTACACATATATAACTTAAAATGCATACATATTATAAATATAAACACCCATGACTGGAGTACAAACATTCGTACTCATAACACACAAATGAATGCCTCCAGCGAGACTCGAACCCGCACCGCTGGCACAGAAAGTAGGGTTACTACAAGCTGAGCCAAACATGTCGTCGTAAAAATTAAAACAATATTATCTAATATCAAAATCATCAAACGATAACTGAACTCATAACTATCTGGTAAAGTAACTGTGCTATCATACGATCCTCAAATTAATGTATTGGTTCGAGTACAATTTCTTAAGAAATCAGAATTTACAGTTTCTCTAAACCATCGTCCATCTCAAATTGCAGTCAGTTTCCAACCCACGTACTTCCCTCTTCAGATATAAACGGAGGCGTTTCAGAACTAGGTTGCAATGTAATGCAATCCATATAGATACGACGCACTTAAGTCATTTTCGTATTGTTCTCGTGTAATTTAAGTCTTATAAGATGTTACATCTAATAAAGAAATTATATTAGAGTGTCTATTTTATTTAGCAACTATAAATACATTAATACTGTATCTCTCATTATATTAAATATTAATATGTATCTATAAATAAGAAATGTGTTTAATTCAATTGATATTTTAAGATGAGTTATAATGAAAAACTAAATTCAACTGTACAATTACGAAAACAAAAGAAATAATTGAAAAATAATCTCTTGCCTTTAGATACACAAATATATTATATAATTATTAGATATACTCAAAACGTGGTACTTTCTTCATGTATGTATGTAGATAGGTAGAAAATGAGGTATGCAGCGAACATGAAAGAATTAACCACAATTCGTTCATGGCAGCGATCTATAAGATTTTATTAACACGATACAATTTTACAGGGGCTATAGAGCCGGCAATGCCTCGCCGTAAGAAATACCCCGGCGTTGCTTACAAAACGAACGAGTTGTTCGACCCCGCGCCCGTCGACGACATCCGCCCGCAACAAGCTTCCGCCTTCGACCGCGCCCGGGTAAGTAAATTGACTAAAATATTCATTAAAATTTTAAAACTTACCAGAACAATATTCTTCTGGGAATTCGTTCAGATCCACTCTTCCAATTAAGATAATTTTGGAAATTGTATTACGTCAGTCTATATTTTAGAATATATTTGGGTATAATAAATATAAAATAACCTAAGATTATCAGCAGGATTGTTAACAATTCTCAGTATAATTTTTCTTTTTATTTACGATCTTATAATAATTCGACTATATAAGATTTATCCATCCATTTTCCTTTTCTTAACGACATCCGCCCTTAACTTCGTCGAGAGACCTGTTGTAAATCAATTTCCTCCGTAATCCTTAAATATCTGGTGATACATCATCCCGAAGAGCTCTGAACGTGACATTGCGTTGATTACTAGGATTTAAGGACTGTCCTACATACCATGAATAAATATTTATACTATCCACATATAATTGGATGCTAGCAGCAGTTATTAGTGAGAACAATATTTACTTCATTTTTCGAAAATGTATTGAATTTTTTTAAATTCCATATTATGCGTATACGTATTTGCCTTTAGTTAAGTCAGTAATCCCAATATTGCAATAGAGCTATAGTACTGATACACAGTTTCAAATCTATAATATCTATACTTAATATTATAAATGTGAAAGTGTGTTTGTTTGTTTGTCCTTCTTTCACGTCACAACGGAGCGACTGATTGGCGTGCTTTTTTGTGTGGATAAATGGAGAAAAAAATATCTATGATCAGAATACTTGAAACTTTGTGTTAATGCTCTTCAATACAATTAAATAAATAAATGTATTAGCATTTTTCAAAATTCATTCTATAAGGGGGTAAAACAGGGAATGAAAGTTTGTATGAAACTACCCTTTTAGAGGTTTTGTAGTAGTTTTAGCGTGAGTGAAGCCGCGGGTTTTGCTAGTAGTATAAAATATAATGGATACCTAAAATCATTTATTTAAACCCTTTTTAAAATAATCAATGTCCACCGAACGGTCAACGTCGAATTCATACAATACAAGCCTCACTGTCAGAGAACTTAGATAACATAAAATTCTGTAATCATCTATAGATATAATAAAATTGTAACTAAGCCGAATCATACATTAAATCATATCAAATCATATCATACATTAAATATTTTTTGGAAAATTTTGTTGAAATAGACTTTATTATCGATACAGAGGCCGAATCTATAGTTTTTAGAATTTTTGTCTGTCTGTCTGTTACCGCATCACAGAAAAACCACTCGAGGGATACTCGAGGGACTTAATGAAATTTGGTATGGTGATAACTGGCTATGCGGGTCAACATATAGGATACTTTTTACCGCGGGAAAATATCTCATTTCTGAGAAAAAATACAAAAACTGCAATGTAATACTAATATGTAAAACCTAAGAATTTGGTTGTTGGTCATCTGAATGCGGGCGGAGTCGCGGGCAATGCCAGTTTTAAATAATAGAACCATCCTCTTGCCTGGCATGAGACAATATAGAGCGCATTCGCATCGCCTCGCGATTTTTCTTTCGAGATGAATTAAAATTGTCTGTAGTAATACATTAAATTCTCTTTCATAACCAAAAATATCAGAGGCCTTGAATAAGATCTTACAATCTCCGACACAGAAAAATAAAGAATGTATAAAAATGACAAACTTTCTGAGCGTTGTGTCACAGGGTTATATATATATGTACATATACATATTATTATATCGTTTTTATTATCTGTAGTAAAAGTCCAAATAACGTATTGCCAAAACTAAAGTGGTTCTTAAGAACTGAAAAACAAAAAGTTTTCCACAAAATATGTATATAGATATATTATCATTTTTTATATCTTGAAAGATTCCTTCCCCTTCTCCTTTAACGTTTTCAGCTCTTTTATACAAATTTTCAGCATTTTCATACATTTCATATTTTTATTTGACCTATATCACTATAAAAAACAACGTTTAAATTTAAAAACCTGTCTTGAGAAAGTTATGACAATACCTCCTTTGTTTCAAATAAAGATAGAAATATTAAAAATGGCCAAAATAAAACAGTATTGGCGATTCTTGAAATAGTAAAGAGAAATCGCTGTGAAAAGAAAAATAATAGGAATTATTACTGTTCGACCTTTAAGCTTAAGGTCGAATGAACAATGATCTAGGTCTTTCTACTTTCACTTCCGATAATGATAGAACCAAACAAAAGAAATACTTATTAACTAGCGACTCACCCTTAGTATAGATTTCATAGAGATGAGATATTTTCCCGCAGTAAAAAGTATCCTATATGCTAACCCGGATAACCAGATCATACCAAACATCAACATCTGTCCTGTGGTTTTCTCGTGATGCCTTCCCAGATAGACAAACAAAAATAATGACTATTTCAATAAGATTTTTCAAAAAATATTCAATGTACAGATTCGAGTTAGTTAAAATTTTATTATATGCATAGATGACTAAAAACTGTATTGCAATTATTACTTAAATTGCCAATAAATAATAATTTAATAACATTTATAAACCAAAACAACGTGTTTGTGTTTTTTGAAAATTTTCCTTACAGCAACTTTTCTTGAGATACTAGCATATTTCAAAAATATGCAAATGCATGTCATTCGGTTATAGATAATATATAGAGAGGGTTGTTTATATTTAATAAAATTAAAAAGTGTTAAATATAAATATTTAGTTTAGAGCAAGTGTTCAATATAGAATAAAATAAACATCAATTTATCCTATAATTTTGATTTTAAATAATAATATAATATGTTATCGTAGAGCGCTCAGAGGAATGACTCGGAGCGTGCCGGGAGACGCAGCAAGTCCGAGGGGCCGCGTCAGCCGCGCTGGACCGACACTGTGGAGCCCAAGGTTTGATCCATTAGACTATTGTTATATATACGAAAGTTTGTATGTATGTGTATTTTTGTTGTCCCTTCAAGCTGAACGGCTGGATGTATTTAGATGAAACTTAATTCACAAATAACCTATAGCCCTGAGTAACATATAGGCTTCTGTTAGACGACCTAGGGACACCTGAGCAAAGCAAGGACAGACAGAAGAAAAGAAAAGATAAAGACTATACCACTCTTATACCCATGTGTAACATTTTTATGGCGATTGCTGAACGATGTAGAAGTTAGTACGGATTCTACATATTTTTATATATTTACATATAATTTTATACATATACCTATATGTTAGAAAAATCTTTGCTTTACCTAGATTTTTAGATGCTTTGATTGATTGATTAATTGATAGTATATACGTATACAATAGTTTACTGTTTGACGATAAAATATGTATATGTATGTCACAAAAGTATTTTTTATATTTATTAAAAACCATTTTTCTCAATTAACTATTATATTTTACGAAGAAATAATAATTAAATAAATAAAAACAAAAAATAAGTATAGGAGTATATTAACGAATGTAATGAATTGCGTTGTAAATTGAACTTTACCTGAAACACAAAAAATCCTATCATTATTATATGAATAATGAAGATGCTAATATTTATTTATTATACGATAAAATTTTAGACATGTCTGTATTAATTAATTGCTTCTTATATAAACATCTTATGCCACTTTAAACACAGGCGTAACACTAAGTTATAATAATATATAATTCTGCGAACTGTCAATCCTATTACATGAGCTATCGACTATTACTTTGAATAAGGCTTCATGAGCTACCATGAGAAAGCACTTAATATGTAGATTATATCTACATACTCTAGCGAACGCGTAAAAAAATATAGTTTAAACGAGAACATCAATCGACAATTCGCTTCCAATCCAAAAGATATTCTGTACCGATTTTCAAAAAGATCTGCTAATATACATAAAAAGGTAGCCTTTAACTTAGGGAAAAACTTCAGGAGATTAAATTTTTACAGAATATTTCTTTAACACGCCTTTATTGATTTAAGATGTAACAAATTAAATAATTTTAGTATAATTAAATGTTGACTGTCACTTTTAACCTATTTCTAATTGACGTACATATGTTAAACTTTATAAGTTACATATACTCGTAGTTATCCACATGCCTATACAATAATTCGTTGTAGAAGAGCGTATTTTTTAGTTTTAAAAAAAAACACAAAAACACACACAAAATAAAAAATAAATATTATAATTACGTTTACAACAATAGTAAACTAATCATACACATAATAATGATAGTAATACTTAGTAATAATAATAGAGTCATTTAGTCATGTCATATTACTCTAGCGTTTTCATTATCCTTATGTTTCTGGATTTATTGAACGTATCTTTTTTATATACCAAAAGAAAAATTGTCTATGGTTTTTTAACGAGAAAACAAAGAATTTCCGCTATCTTATAATATATTTAGTTTAATTTTGTACACAATATGACATTTCTAATATAATTAAATCGTAAAAAAATCACAACTCGCTTATGACTTAACGCTAGTGAAAAATAAATAATATAAAAAATACGTCTTGTTAAAATTAACCAATAATAATTATGATCTATACATAATAATTATAATAAAACACCTAAACCTAACCTACCTATAACTATTTAATGGCAACTAGTAAAATTTTCAAGTTTCAGCTTATTTTACTGATTTTCACGTTTTTAAGTTATAGTCAGTCAATACTGTTTTTTTTATTTTATGAAACAGACAGACAAAAAATCTATAAACTATAGATTCGGCCTCTGTATTGATAATAATGACTATTTCAATAAGATCTTTCTAAAAAAAATTTAATGTACGGATTCGGCTTAGTTACAATTTTATTATACATACATATATATACAAGTACCTACTAGACTTTCCATATCAAGCGTAACAGTGTATCATCATTTAGGTATATAAATAAAATATGTATGTATCCCTTTTAGGCTACCACAGCGTTAGGTGAGGTGTTAGCAGTGAAGGAGCCAGAGACTCTGAACACAGAGTACCGCAACCAGTACGCCTGGCCCAAGGACACGGATGTGCCGAGAAAGAGCATCTCTATGGGGGCGCTGAAGAAAGCTGCAGTGGCTGAAGGTAACATTCTTAATGAGTACAAATATAAAATAAGTTGAAATTTTAGAACATAAGTAATTGCTTTAATTAATGGTCCTACGTCTGATTCAAAGTCTTATCAAAGATCTCTTTCTGAGCTTTTCAAGACAAATTGGTTTTGAGTCTTCTACATACACTAGATATCTTTTTGTTTACCACATCCATACTAATATTATAAATGTGAAAGTTTGTGAGAATGGATGGATGTTTGTTGCTCTTTCACGCCAGAACTGTTGAACGGATTTGGATGAAATTTGGTACAAAGATTCTGGAATAGTACATAGGTTACTTTTCATCCCGGAAAAATGTACGGTTCCCGTGGGATAGATTTGTTGTTGTCTAGGGACGAACCTAAAGCGAAACGATGATGAGTCGCTAGTCAAATATACGCTTTAAAATAGCTCGATATTTTTTTTTTATTTAGAACAAAATCTTAAAAACCAGGTGTATTTTTAATACTTAATAGTTAAACGCAAATACAAAATATACGTATTTGTTGAAATCTAGAAGTGAGCATTCGCATTAGCAAATGTACAGACATAGTTCAAATTCATGAAATTTGAATATCCCTTTGAAAATAAACTTCTATCATGCATAAAACATTCGGTGCTGAGTCTGAAGATGAAGATTAAGCTCTTATACGAGTATATGAAAGTGGTTATTACTTTGCTTTGGAATTACTTTAAAGTTATATCAGCGTCATAAGTTCTTAAGCTTCGAATGAAAAAATAAAGTACATACTTAAATATAGTATAGATTTTAAAATATATTGATTTAAGCATCTCAACGCTTATTTACGGATTGAGTAAATATGTAGAGTAAATAGGTGAATGCATCCTTTCTTTTCCATACTAGCACTGCCCGCGGACTAGACTTTGTTGGGAAAACTTTAATAGGACGAACATATTTATATGATATTTAACAAAACAAATTTCCCTAAATCGGATATCGAATCTGCTACCTTAGGTGCTAAACAATCTAATAACAATTATTATAAGGATATATTTCTATTAAAATATACAGTCTTAATCTTCGCCAAACGCCAAGTTCAACTAATTTGAATCCCAAATGAAACTGAAGACAACAATTCCTTCTAAGTTTATATGAAGTGAAAGAGCAAAACTTGATATCTACTACGTATAGTAACGGCTTTACAACTTGGCTTATGAAGTTGCTTTTAACTTAGCGTTGTTTTTATTTGTTATTTTAATTTCTTGGAACCTTTGAAAATTTTAAGTAACTTTTACTCTTTCCGAATTCGGAAAATTTATATATAATTATTATTATTTTGTAAGACTCTCACGTTGGATGTTCATAAGTAATTTATTTATAGAAATATTTAGAAAATATTAAAGATTTGCGATCAAATGCTGAATTTTTACGCCATATATGCTTCGACCTATGAATCAATCGTTTAAAAATACCTATCTATAGACTGTAGAAGGGAACAAATAAAAAATTGATTATGCATCAAGACTATCGTTCCATATACGACTACATAATAAATATGTATGTTATTTTAATGATTGATTTTCTGCTTAAAATAAACACCAATCTTTCCAGGGTCAGTGGAGGCTGAACCCCTCATGAACCATGTGGATGGTGACCATGAAGACGGTCACAAGCGCTACATCGAGGATTACTTGTGGAACGGTCAGAAGCCTGGAGTCCAGAGGTGAGACCCTTCGTGCCAGATAAATTTCTATCTGATTATCACTAACAAATTGATATTTCATACTTGTATATAACTTGCCTAATTATGAAAGTTTTCGAAATGTATCTATAACGTGTTATATTGCTGTGTGTTATTTTAAATTACATAAAATTCGTTTAATTTATTATATAGTATCGTTTCAATCCAAGTAAAGATAGACTTAAGTAATTGTTTATACAAGTATGAAATACAAATAACAAAATATTGTAAATTATATACACTAATGTGATATCAGAACATGTTTATGATTTATTGTCAATTGTAAATAAGTTCTGATAATTTAAGCTTTAGCTTTATTCACTGATATTTCATTCTTGCTTTCATATTTTATCAATTTATAGATTGTTTCGTATAATTTTATATTTTCAATATTTTTTGAACGCATGCTTTTAAAATATTTCTATTTGAAAATTATCAATAATTGGAACAGTCTATAATCACACACAAACACAAAGTAATCGTTTCCATCACATATGCTTCGCTTTGGCTAAAGCAGCTTATTCGCAAACCACCATGAGTTAAAAATTGGGGTACAAATGATTTAAAACACCCTGTATCGATGCCATACATACCTATTCCATACATACACACACAATCAACTTCAATTCAATTAAAAAAATCCGTGAATTTCCGGACGTAATTTTACACAATTGTAAATAAAAACCAATTTATAAGTATTATTTTATCTCATTTATGTAATTATTTTTTTATTTAAAACTTAATATAAAAAACTTTTCAGGTGAAGATTTTATTCAGAAAAATATTTCTTACGACACTGCTAATTGCTTTTAATATCTGTGTCTAGATTTGTATACTTTACTATTCACGGAGGAAACTTTTACTACCTTTCATTATAGAAATAGAAAAAAAAATACAATTTTGACATTTCATGTCATCTCATTATACTAGAACAGATACTGATAAAAATTGAGCATTCTAAAAAAAATTATTAACAGCTTTATTCTTTTTATGATTTTAAAAACCTTTTAAAAAAACTCATATCTTTTATTTTAATGACATCAAAACGCTGAGCGATACTTATAAAAAAAGTTAAATATTTTTACGATATTGTAATATATTTTATCCAAGTTTAACTGCAGACTATTCGCTTGATAGTTGAGAGACCTTGGAGTCAGTGTTTGCGACAGTATACAGCAAGGTCAAGGCCTTTTTAAAAAAGTTTTTACTTCAGTTGCCTTGGAAAAGTTTACTGACTACGATCATTAGAGCTATCTTTGTTTGCTTTAATTTTATCAATGACTATACTCAAAGACACATTCCATTGTCATGTTTTGTTTATGGTTCGAAAAAAAAGTAAAAGTTTCCTGCGTGTCTGTTCTGCCCTGTCTCTTCCGTTCTCATAATAACTGGGTGCAGCAGAACAAGTCTAAATTTCGTTTTTGATATTTGCTTACATCTAAATCTCCTCACGGTGGCGGTTCCTAGGCCGAGTAGAATTAGTCAAACTATATTGTATTAGTTCGGAATGTCATCTAATAGATCCTTTTTTAATATCGATGTGTCCTGCACTTTTGTCGATGTGAACGTTAATTCAAATTTTTGTTAGATTTGTATGTCGTTGTATCACCTAACACTTCTGACACTAAGTCTAACGACCTCGAAGTCGGCGGATCCTTCTAGACTCTTCCAGGACTAACATCCTAACCACCATTGCGAGCTTATTATTTGAGCATGAACTAACCAGCTCGGCGCGAGCTCTTTGTTTTGCCGCATATCATCGTAACGTCCAACGTCTGATTTGAAATGGAATTTTGCAGAAAATCGACGTTCCGTAGCGCGCTATCGGCCCTCATATACAACGGCGAGGATCGTTCCAAAGATAATAGGAAACGTTACAAAAGCGAGTACAAAAAGAAATTTAGACCGTTCTCTCAATACGTGTACGAGGCGTCTAAAGGGACATTTACGAAATGCAGGGGAAAAGGGAAGTCGATTGAGGAGGCGAGCGAGAGGTTGGTGGGGGAGACGGAGGGGGCGGGCGGTGGGCCGGGGGTGGCGGCGGGGGGCGCGGGGGGCGCGGGGGTCACAGGGGAAGACTCGGCTAGCACGCTGCGCGCGGCCGGCCTGCAGCCGCTCGGCCTCGCGCAGGGCGACTCGTGGTACCGCGAGGTGCTGGATCTGCGCAAGCGCGCCGGGGAATATAAGGTCTGCGCCCTACGATAATTGCTTACACACTATACCCGACTTAGGTTACCTTAGCACTAGTGCCTTTAAGGCATCATTTAAGTCCATAAAATGGAGCCACAGAAGAGATATTACCAAAAAAAAGAAATCAAATACAAAACGGAAAAGGACAGAACCCCAGAAAGAAAAAAAATAATTATATTAACACGTCTGTATTATGTATTGAGATATTACCAGTTATAAGCTGAATCGCCTGAAAATACTCACTGCTCCACAATTTATTTAAATTTCTCTAAATCACGCCAGAATCTAAGCCCCGATCCCCTCATCCATATATTGGCAACTTAGCATACTATACCACTTATCAAATACTTCAAAATTTGAACCCTAAACCAAAGTAATTTGGAAAGTGGTATATCACAATCATGCTTCATCATATTCAAAATTGCCATTAATTCGACAGTACCGCGGCTGGGGAACCGAACTAGCTCCAGAACACATCACTCAGCTTTACAATAAGCAAATCGAGCTCTGGTACCAAGTGTCCCGACGGTCCTCGCTGTCAGCCCTATCACTTGCTTCCACCAATCACAAGTAAGTGATGCACTAGATATTATTATTTTTATACGGAAACACCATCCCGCACAAAGGACCTATTCCTGTATATCTTTTGTTTTTCCGGTCCTTCAAGCCGGATAAATCCGCTTACACTAACATTGTTCGAGTTTGTATGGGGCTGGTGCTAGCAACGAATGGCTTGGATTGCGAATAACGAAGCCATTTTTGATGCTATGCGTAGTTTAGCGCTCATCAGCCAGGACTAGTTGATACAAAGCCAAGCGAAATGCATAAAACTTAGCATTATATCGCAATATAAATATAGAGTAGCAATAACAAAATAAATTCTTTCAGAGTTCTGCCACGTGATGAAAAGGATGGCAAGGAGTCAAGGAACCATTCCCCTAAGAAGTTTAGATCTTTCCGTTCGGCACCACATCAGTCCATCCACGCCAAGCTGCAGGAGACTAAGGCTTTGGAGCGATCTCCTCATAAGACCTCGCCTCAAAAGCAGAGGAAGAAGTTGCAGGGACATAGCTTCGATGAAGGAGCTGCCCATGATGGTATATGCTTGTTTTTTTTTTGTATGTTACGACACCTTAATTTGGCGCGAAGGCGATATTAAAAAAGCGTATTGCTGAGCGCGGGCCTCCCTTCAATACGAGGGGGATCAGGCCATAGTCCACCACGCTGGCCAAGTGCGGGTTGGCAGACTTCACATGTCTTTCAAAAACTTGCTAGGTTCTCTCAGACATGCAGGTTTCCTCACGATGTTTTCCTTCACCGTAAGGCAAGTGGTAATCATGTTGAAAATGATTCGCTCATGAAAATATCAGAGGTGCGAGACCCGGGATCTAAACCCGATTGACTCGGTTACCCAAGCGAGCGCGTCACCACTGGGCTACCACTGCCTTGTAACCACTGCTTTGTTGGCAAATCTTCTTCAAATTTCCTCACAATTAAATCACCATAACAAATGTAGGAAATACTACGATTTTTATATAAACTTAATTAACTTTAATTACAATTAATTTACAAGTTATAGTAATATATTATTGTAACTAAATTCTTGAAATTATTTATTATTATATTGATTTAAATGCCCCCTTCCCCCTCCTTCCTACCACGACAAAGTGAACACATATCGGTAGGGGATCCATAACATTCTAACTTAAGCCCATCCAATTTCTGACCAAACGAATACAACAACAAATTCCAGGGGCAAAAACAGAAGGGGCGTTCCGCTCCCCACGCCGCCGGCCGCGCTCCGCCGACCCCGCGCCCGCGCCCGCGCGCCACATGCCCAACGGAGACCTGCCGCGCCCCATCAAACCCACTGGTATGCATAGAGTAGACATTGTAGCTATAGAAAATACTGGAATATCGTATTCTGAAGGCGTACAGGCCTTTTTCTTTATCTTTTGATTATTGTTGCTAGATATGGGATTATTTCCAAATGAACACAACGAAATGACAGAGTTGTTAAATCTGCTATATTATGTTACATATCAGTTTACATTATTCAGCTATTCTGTACTTAAAGGTTCTCGCTTCGAAAATCTCTTTCTCTTTATATAAGTAAACTTTAAGAAAGAAGTTATTTAATGTTAGTCCCGCTGAGTTCCTTTTGCCAGTTTTTCTAAGGCCTAAGGCTTCTTTCCGAACTGGTAGTAGACGTTCGTCATGACGCAACGTTCAGTAAAAAGTTGTAATAATATAATGCTGAATGAAATATTTTGAATTTAAATTTAGTAAGTCTTCTATCATAGAATCAACAAAAATAGGTTATTAATGTTATTCGTTAACCAAATTTCTTTCTTATATTTGATATCTATAATAGTCTGTCGTGTCGTGTGTCTCTGTGTAATAACTGTGTAAAATCTTCTGTTCTTCTTAATTTTTACTGTGTACTTACTTAGTTGGTCTAAATTCATTGAAATCTATTAATTTATTGGTGTTCCCTTAGTTGTAACAATGATGCCAACTTTACTGTCGTTCCTGCCTGATGCTTGACCCCAATCCGATAAACGAGATATTGGCTCCAAAAATTATAAAATGTCCAAAATATCAATTTAATCTAGTATAAAGTAATGCCGGTCAATGAAACTGCCGTCAGAAATATCTAAAACCTATCAATTATTTTGGCGATGACAGTTAAAAGTAAACATTCACAATTTTCTTACATAAAATGTTATAACTCCAAAAATTTCTACATAACATTTAATATGCTGCTTTAAAATTTGAAACGCAATTTTTGGTGCCAATACTCAAAAGCTACAAAATTTAGCGTGGCATTTCTTCTGTAGGTTTGCCGTTAAGTAGGGGCAGTAGTAATAGAATTAGGTCTTCTCGAGGGGGACGGTCGCCTTCCGTGCCTAGCAAAACTATGACAAACGGGACCATCGGGGAAAATGAGGCTATTGGGGCACATGACGTTGGGGCAAAAGGGGCCATCACACCGGGACGAGGGCGAAGGAGCCGCAGCGTAACAAAAGTGGGCATAAAATTGGGTGCGTACGCACATACAGGTGACAGTTGCGTCGACGCTCTGTGCTCTAGAAATCTAGACCGAAAGCTTTTATGTGACGCTTAAAATGGCCTGTAGTAAGAAGAGCTTCTGATTGGCTTTTAGATTTTATAAATTTGGTTTTCTTTCTGGTTTCCATGTCAGTGCGTCTACGCAACGCTCAGTCACGTAAATACGCATTGGCACCGAAGTGAGAATGGCTTCGACACCCCACAAGAGTGTTATATGTCCGTCTTGTCTGTTTGTACCACCTGCACACAACACGTTCTTCAAAATGTGACAATTTAAGTTACGGGGAGTGCTATGAATCAGTTTTCCATAAAATTGTACAGTGACATTTAATTTTTAGTATCTACAAATGAAGAATGCAATATTTTATCTATAAAACATCTTCTTATATAAGATAAAAATATAATTAAGGTTTTTAAGGGTAGATATAATACTATATATATGTGTAATTTATGTTGTATGTAGTTCCTTCCTTCGTGTGTTTTATGAAATAGATATTTAAGTGCATGATTTATATAAAAAAAAATTGATGTGCCACTGCTTATGTAATATTGAACAAAACAAATAGTGACTCTATAAGCCTATTTCATTTTAATATTTTTCATTAAAACTAAAAGTTAATTAAGTTTAACTAAATAATAAAATCTTGGTTATTATTATTAGTATGTTAACATCTTGATGATAAGATACAATTATGTTAAAACCTTTTTAAGTCATAATTTTTGATTAATTAAATAAATCGCCGTTATCTACTTTGAAAGGTAAATTTCTATCTACATAATATATTTATGTTTACAATCTATAATAGTGTATGAAATTGGCTTTAAACGAATAGAAATGTAGAAAAAATTGTTTGATGTGTGTTTGCAAGGTCTGTCGATGTTGTCGTGAATTTTGAATGTTGTAGATACCTATTTAGATATTAGCAAAAATGTCTGTGTATGTACATAGAAAAGTGCGAACAAAATTTTTGCATTCATTTGTATTTTACTGTTTTATTTCCAAATAAATTTGTGTGATATGTTATTTATTCATTTAATCACGAAATCAATTACACTTACCATATCACATGTAAGGATATATAAAATAAGAGTTACATAAATATGCAAATTAATTTATATGTCTATTAAAGTAACAAAGACAAAACTAACCAGCCAATACCATCAGAATGATTAACTAACTCTATCAAGCTATCATTGAACCCCCCACATTACAGACGACGACATCCCCGCTCACCGCAGTGCGTCCGTAGCGAAGGACCATTTCTTTGACGACTCTCCCATAGTAAAGTCGCCCCCCGAGCCGACCCGCGTGAAGTCCCCCGAGCAGATGAACATGCGCTCCCCGGACCCCGTCAACTGGACCGTGCCACTCGACACTGGCAAGACCTTCACCGTCACGCAGAACGTGAAAAGCGGTGAGTTCAGTCTTTTCAACAGATTGGCGGCAAATATTATTAAATTAAGTTAGGTTACATCGGTCAGACCACGGACGTTGTGATAGACAAAGAGTATCTTTTTCAATTGTTGGTAGTGTTGCCACATCCGAAATCATAGTAGATTTGTTTGTTTATACCAATTCCTTGTATAATATCTCTTTTCTGTATGTTATTCATACGTTTTATTATTCTTTTGTAGGTAGAACTAAATTTCTTTTTGATTGAAGCGAATTGGTTATGTTATTTCTATGGTCTCTGAAATTTTCTATGTAATAGTAGTTTGTAATGTAAGACGAGTAACTCGACTGACAACACACTAGCGTTACTACCTCATTCTATCAGGATTTGAACCAAATAATGGACAAGATACTCTTAGCGTAGATATACAGCAGTGGAGTCTATAGGAATAATTATGTAATAATTAAGATTACTTGTTACTAAAAATAGGCCGAATTCCCAAAATTTAAACACTAATGAAATAACAGAAGTTTATTCAGAACATATTAGTGATTAAATTTTTAAACTCAAAAGAAGCCATCACACTATCATGCAACACGGCTAGCGGACATGATCTCTGCCATACCATTGTTATGTACCAAGTGTGACTAGTACCCACTGTACAACGTAGAGGCTTGCAACACTCACACTAAATACGAACACAATAAAATCATGTACATTGTACATACAATAACGGAAACAAATAAATTTAAAACGGAAACACTCATTAAAATTATTCATTCTTATGTTCTCATAAACATTTTGTGTTTGTTATAAAGTATCATTTGAACATTTTGTAGACACGTTCTTTGTCCGCACAATACTGATAACTTATGCACTTTCATATAATGGCAACACCCAACTAGCCTAACAGTTGTCAGGTCGACACATGTTAGTGTGGCCAGGGAACGTTTAGTGTTTCACGATTGTCACGCCATCTACCATACAAATCACTCACCATATTTCAGATGAGAGCATTAAGCGCCCTAGCTCTGACTTTAAGAGCGCTTCAATGGCCGAGGAGCCGAAGCCGGCAGGTACGACGACCGCGCTCGCCTAGACATCGGCCATACACGTTTTAATGAGTGTCACAGACATGCGACATGCGACAGTGACGCCCTCACTGCCACATGACCGCGACACACTACCGACACAAGAAAATATATAACCTGTTTTATATTATATCTATTGAATAGTTCATGATTAAATTGTGTTATTCCAATAATTGAGATGCTTTTTTATTTTGACCGTACTCCGCTGAGACGTCGACCACGTATGTATTCACTTGTTGTGTGTGTGTCTGTTTCGATGTTTGCGTACACTGTCACAGTTTGGCACCCGACTTTGCCCTTGTTTCTCCATCTCATCTCTCGTTCACTTTTGCATGCTGCCATCCCTTTTCTTGACAGAAGTTGCCACTCTTCAAACCTTGTAATCTATTTTTAGTGTGGCAACTTCTAATCATTTCCCGGCTACTCTCTGACGATAGCTTTTAGGCTAGCTCCTTTTGATTATATGTACATAGCCCCTGCGGTTCATACCATCGATTCTATATGGTTATTATGCATGATTTCTTCAAGAAATCCTATCTATGGTTTAGCTAGACTTTCTAACTATTTAGATCTGTTTGCCCCTCTCCCTATATATAGAGGACGCATGAGTTTATTACCTTTCTTTATGATACCTACACCAACAATCGAGTCAACACTGTTGAGAATTAGTTGAAGAGTGAGTATTGTATAAAGTAAAAAATGTTACCGATTTAAACAATGTGTTGGTGCCGATATCTAACAAGCGGTAGCATGTGAAAGTGAAATATTCTTCTTAGAAATTGTCATGATTTTATTATTCAAATCATTTCTTTCATTACGAAATTGTTATTGGAAGTTAGGACACTTTTATAAAATATGTGTACTTTGGCATCCACATATTATGTGTTATAAAATTTGCAATTGTAAGTAAATAGTTTTAAGGAATGACTGCGCTCGACTAGAGCGATGCCAAATATATAAACTGTTTATACTTAGATTTTTATAATCTTGAATTAAATTTAGAGTCACACTGTAGCGGAAAACCATTAGCCACACGATGTTAGCGTTTTACTGTTTCTATATATACATAAGTGTAAAATTTAAAATCTTTGTTAGTTATCTGTGCTTTATATGTACATTGGAAGTTTCAGAAATATATGTTTTGAAGCTTCCAAGCTCAGTGTAAGCTAAAGCACGAAAGTAAACTGAGCGGCGCCTTTTCCAGAAATCGCGCCAATTCACCATCAACAAATGTCTCCCATTCGGTCGCTTAAAAAGAGCGATTCGCCAACAAGCCTGAGCAAGCGCACCGACAAGACCCCCACCACGCCCATCAGCCTGACCCCCATCGACGAAACCAAAGCCCTCGACATGAACAAAGTCAACGGCATTAACGGACTTAATAGCAACCAGCTGACCCCAGAGACCCCCAGCCAGGAAATAAAAGACATAAAAGAAAAGGAAGTGATTAAAAAATCGACTGAAGCGACTCAGGTGGCGCCCGGAGTGGTCGACACGACCGTGGTCAACGAGGCCCCCAACGCCGGGGGCCTCACCGCCGCAGAGGTTCTCGACAGAGCTCGCTCGAGGTTCGACAAATTCTGGGGCAAAAAGGAAGACGATGTTTAGTCAATTCGAGTATAGACTGCAAATTGTGGCAATATCAGTTCCTAAGCTGCTTCAAGTCACAGTTTACAGCGAATGTAGGAAAATACCGCGAATTATTATAGCTTCGCTTCAGACGAGTGTAACAATATATTTATTTATTGATGAAATATCAATCTAAATAGGTGTGATGGCTTGTGATAGGTAGGATATGGACATCGGGATACATTATACAAATGCCTCTATGGACTTCTATATCTTACTAATATTTGAAATGACTATAAACCAATTTTAGTATTTATTTAGTATAATATTGAATTTAATAACTAAATATATTCTTTAAATAAATTAAATAGCTTTTCCTAAATATTGACATTTGTAAATATTTATTCTGATGTCCGATGTACGATTAATTGTACGATGTGATTGATTGGTTACTAATACATTGTAATTATAATCGTGTAAGAATTTCAATTTCCGGTTCATTTCTATTCAAAGATACAGTAACTTTAAAAGTTAAATTATTAAATCTAATGTTATAACTTTACTTGTATGCCTTGATGACGTAGCCTCCCTGTTTTCAATATATTGTTCTACATATGTACGTATCTTTTGCGACATTTGGTTGCATTTTCAGCCGTTCTTCATAATTTGCTGTTACATTTTTAGGTTCTGTGGAGTCTCCCAATCATATTCCGCTTTGTATACCGTCTGTCTGTCCGTCCATCCTAACAAAACTCGCAACCATACAAACATATAATACCGGTCTTTCAGTATAATTTAAAAAAAATTAAATTGTTTATTGAGTTATTTTTTTGTTATCTATGATATGTCAAAATTATTTTGAAATGTTTAAAGATTTTAATTTCCTAAATAATGTCCTGTTTTTTTTTTTGCTAAGGATATTTTTCGTTCTATGATTTAAACGTAGACGGTTTGACTAAAAATTTAAAAGCAGAGTATACTAATTGCATACTGGTATAGTAAGCCGTCCAAAAGTAGTATTTTTTGCAAATATCTGAATTTATTTTTAATAAATTATAAAATAATTAAATAATTCTTCTCAATCACTTCTTACAAGTGTAGATTAAAAATTAAAAAGTATTTTTTGAAAAATCCAGCTTTATCTGTATACAGAAGACTCTAGATTTTTTGGCGGGAAACGTAAATGAATTTTACTTAGCGAATAAATTAAATTTAAAGTAGAAAATGGATATATCCCGTCAAGCTTGTCGCCTGTGTTTATCTATTACAGATTTTAATATTTCACTGTTCAGTAGTTATTGTGAAAAGTGTAACATGTTAGACAAAATATTGGTATGTTTAAAGCTAATTATCGAGAAAACGGATTATTTGACAACCATATGCTACAAATGCGCGGACAATGTTGAGAGATACTACGATTTTATAACATTTGTGAAAAAATCGCAAACTAAGTTGAAGGGTGCAGAAATGTGTAATCAGAGCTTGAACAATGAACCGAATCTGAACATCACGCGGCGTCACGTCACGTCTTACGTACGAGAGGTCATTGACGCCGACTACACGTTCTCCTTCCTCGATATATCTAAGATTGACGATAAAAAAGAGTCAAACACATCAAGTCCCTTCTTTTCATACTTTTCACCTCCGAATATGCCAGGTATGCCATCCGTCGAACCGTGTCTGTGGAAGACGCGAGCGCGTACCAACGACATTAAAAATGAAACAAAACGAGAAACGCTTAAAAATGAACTAAAAAGGTGTAAGTTGGAAAGACCGAGACATCATTCGATTGATTTATTTGAATCTCAATCACAAGACGTCGAAGAAACAGAGCTACGGAGTCTCGATTGGAAACTGACGCCTGATGAGAGCCTTTTCAAACGGGTAAGAGAAAAATGCTTCGGTCGATCAGATTTTTAATATAAATATTACGTTTATCTGTTACATACATGTAATTTTATTGAGAGTATAAAGTTTGGTTGACTAATAACGATTTCTATGGAGTTCCGTAGAACAGGGTAATCTTAGTTGATTTAGTGATTTCAATGTTAGTTTATTGGATTCGATATTTAGACGCCTGTCCTTTGAGTTCGACTTGCGTGTAATGTAAGACTATGTATGTACACACTGTGTATGTACACACTGTGTAATAAATTGATGTTTTATTTCAGATTGGATAGTTTTAAAGTAAACAATGTATGTGGTATAACCGTGAGACTTAAGTAGAGTTTTTGTAAGCGACTTGTATTTATTGCAATTAAACACTATGTTAAATGTACTTCTTCAATTAAATTATTATTATTGTATTAAGAAATATGGCTATTGTATACTAAATTTGCTTTAAGTCTGTATTTGATTGGGTAACAATTTATTGACAATTTTCCTTCGAATTTCATGTCATATAAGTTCCTCGAACTGTCATATGTTTTTCCGCGCACAAAAACCACTGTATATTGATTTGTGGCCCCTCATAGCCCATAGACCATAGCAGGTAATGAGTTAGCTTTGCTACGGATTTATAGCGTGATTTGTTCTTCAGTTGTTAAATCAAAATGGACACCTCAATAAAAAATATAAAAAGTTGTTTGTTTTATTTTATTATTACTCATAACATTCAAAACTTCATTCTAACTGAAATTTACAACTTATTGAGCATATACCGACAATAGAAATTGACAAAAAATTACATTAGAAAAATCTATTTATACACATAATAAAATTCTGAGTCCAATCTGTAAACTAAATATTTTTTGGAAAATCTTATTGAAATAGTCATTATTATGGATACAGAGGCCGAATCTATAGTTTTTACTTTTGAGAATTTTTGTCTGCCTGTCTTGGAACGCATCACGAGAAACCACTGAACAGATTTTAATGAAATTTGGTATGATTATAATAGCTGTTTATCCGGGTCAACATATATGATACGTTTTACTGCTGGAAAATATCTCATCTCTGAGAAATCTGTACTAAGCTGAGTGAGTCGCTAGTCAATTATAAAAGTTAAAACGAAAGGCCAAACTAAACAATTAATTTTAACTTTATTTCCACTGCCTTAATTCATAATAAATCGAACTAATTAATTTTTTATCGTTATGAGATGAAATCGATTCTTCTGCAGAGAATATGATTATTATTGATATACAAAATCATAATATAGCATTAATTACAAAGGTTAAAATAAAAAGGCAAATTAAACAGTTAATTCATGACTTTATTTCGTATCCATATCGAATCGTACACATTGCTAAGTGAAACATTCCGTGGCTCACTAATAGACACTTAATTAAAAATCACATTCATTTAATCGCTACATTTTGTATTGGCGTTAACTTTTTATGGCAGGCAACACAGTAATATGAGATAATACTACAAGCTTAAAAATATCAGACGCACATACAACCTATGCGATTTTAACCTATTTTACATTCCAATGATATATATCTTAGTTAAAAAGTGGAACATAAATAGAAATGATTTTAATGATAATATCGTCATATAGCAAAATAAACGCACATTATAAGTGATTTTTATATTTAGTTTCCTTTACTTTATTACACAGCAGCACACTAAAACAATATTGTAAGTCCCTAACCTTAACGTGCCTAATAGTAAAACAAATATGAATAATATAGTTTTATACTTGTAATTTATATATAAATATAATTTATTTGAATCTCTGGAAATAAAACTACTTAAAATAAGCGTTTTAGCTAATAGACGATATAAAAAGCAATGGTCCCAAAACAACTGTACGCATAATAATTCATTGTTTCTTTTGGTCTCAAATTTTAAATAATTAATGAAAATTTGCAGATTTAAAAATAAAATAGGGTAGTGTGTGTACACCTTTACCCTGTATTGCCATGCACGAAAATTACAAGTGAATTAAAATTAATCAACCAATGAGTATTTCTAAAATACAATATTACAAAAATATTAAATACATCGTCTTATAGAATTTATTCCATACACTGTACTATGTAATAATGGCGCGACAAAATCAAATCTTATTTTCTGTACTCTATTATAAAAATAAATTGAAAACTGTCAAAAGTCGCTTAGTGATAGTAAAAAAAAATCGATTGTACTATTTATTTACAAATTCATTTATAAAATATATGAAATACAAATATATTACTTATTATTTCTTGCATCAGAACAAGAAGTAACAAGTAACGTATTATTAGAAAATTAAGTTCATAAAGTTCAAAGAAGATTGTAAAAATTGCATCATATTGCAAGCAATAAGAATTATAGGGGGAACTCGTCTGTGGAATGTTTTAAAGCATATATAAAAACAACACGAGCTCTTTGATGTGGGCATAAAATTACAATATTAATTTTAACCCTGAAGGAAATCTACTAAAGGAATCGGCTAAATTAATTTAAAAAAACAATATTTACAACAATTGGGGAAGACAAGCCTCTGAGTGTAATACTAAATAATTAATAAACTAAAGCATACATTATAGATATAATATTTAAACGAACAAAACGTATGTACTTTTTTAAATGTTCGCAAAACAGGAATTCACAATTCCTAAAACGAAGACAAATTATACATAATTAATTTAAATCTATTTATTTTGATGTGCTTTAATAAAGTGGACAACATTATGTCTAAAATAGTCATTATTACATTCATTGCCTTTACTTCACTAATGTAATGAAAATTTATAAAAATATATAATATATTGCATCAAAATCATGTCATGTTTAATCGGAAAAAACCCGAATTAATAGATAATTTTATCGTTCCGAGACAATATCGATTGAAAATCATATTATGGCACTTTATCTGATACTTTTTAGGAAAACGATGCGCTAGGAATGTTATTTTAAATAAAACTATTTTTTCGGATTTTTAGCGATTTATTTTGATTTGGTAATATAATTGCTGTGAAGCATTCGAAACGTCGGGAACCAAAAATCGAAATAAATTAGCAAAACAAAAATATCCGAAAAGGTAGTTTTATTTAAAATGTCAAATATTCGCGGTAAATCTAGGAATGTAATTATTTGACAGTAAATCGTTAGTAATCGATATTTCGTTCGATCGAATCGATTTTGTATGCTAAAGTAGAATTAGCTATCGTAAAGAATAAGCTTCCGTCGAATATATTACTTTAATTATTTAGAGATCGATTAACTTAGATATAATTATTAAAAACAAACTATTATTTCGTGAGCAAGCTCTTTAACTCATTTATCTATCGATCGTCATGTTCCATTAGAAAAATAGCATAAATATGTTATAAAATACAATGATTTTTAATCAAATTATAATAATGGGCTTTAAAAAGGTTCATATATTTTTATGGGACTATTATAAAACTGTTGTCCTGGTATTGGTTTCATATACAGACAATATATTCATTATACTAAGCTGCAAGATGATTATTTAAAGCAAGTTAATAGACTTAAAAGAGCTATTTACATCATCAAAGTAGTTAAATGTTAGCATCTTATTCATTCTAAATGAGCGAATAACGTATGGAACTGTAATATGATAGGCAAAACTTCACTTACATCAACCACTATACACATAAATCGATTAGAAAAACGAACAAAAAAAACTAAAACAGAAAATCGATATTAAAACGAGTAAGAGTTAAAAACAAACTAAACGTAAAAATATTATCACAATAATAATCTAATGTCTAAAAATGAAAACGTTTACAAAAAATATAACTTCAACCCTTAACCTAATCACATGAAATGAAACAGTTGAGCGTGTCCATATTTTTTAACGTACATTATTACCATAAACATAGAGAGTGGATCGAGTGTTTCTTCGCCAGCAGTCAGCTAAAAATGGCGGACAGGCGCGACAGAGACAAAATGAATATACTCCCAGAAGTCTTCTGTATTTATTGAGATATAATTAATGAAGATAGGTATTTATAACCATTTTACATTCCATTATATATTTTTTCCATTCCATTTATTAATTCAAATTGGAATAAAAGACAGGTATTGGCCGCACGTTCGCTTTCTCTCTTTCTAGAGAGTGGTCAATTTCATGACAGTATTGCTCAGTCTATTCTCTACGTCTATGGATATTACCATATAAGGAAAGGACAGCATGAAATTGTCAAACGTAACATTAATTATTGCTGTCTTCTTCTAACATACCACGAGAGAAAAGGACAAAGCATTGAATGCTATTATTAATGTATCTTTATAGAAGGCTAAACTATGAGATTAATAATGAACGTCCGTTAATCATATTTATTGAAGAATAGATGTAAAAACTAAAAGTATAAATCGCCTCAATAATGTAATACTGAAGACAGGGTCCGAATAATTATATGACTTTTAAATATAGTTTGTTACATATGAACACCTGTCGCTAAACAAAACGAACCATGTATCGATTGTGCCCTTTCATATATTGGTACAATATAGAGAAGGATAGAAAATGGATATTAAATGGATTTAAAACCATATCTGTATATCTTTATCTCTTTCTAAACATCAAATCAACAGAGCTCAATTAACTACGAGTATAATTCATGACGATGATTAAAACAACTAAACAAAGAACGTTTACGCTATACACAGTCTAAGAAAAGCTTACAGCGAGTTTATTTTTATTTTTACACAATTTACACAACACCGACAAAACATGAAAACTCTTAACACGCAAAACCATCGTTTTATTTGCACAATGATGTCTTCCAATACGCTTATAGTTTCCATTGCAAACATAGGTATCGCTATCTCGCTAACATTTGAGGGCAAGAGCTTTTGATCTAAGACAATAATATATTTAATGCAATGTACTGAAATTAAGGCGCATGCTCATAAAATGCATTAAAAAGGGGGCACCTTATTAATTTATTAAAATACTTTATCAAAGAACCGCAGTACAATTATCCCTAATTCGAATTAAGATACAAAAACTTTTGAATTACATCTATTATAAAAAGTGCGGTTATTATAATGTTAAATATCGATATTTTTTATATAATCTATTGCATGCATTCCTAAATATATTAAACCTGGTCTGAATTTATAATGTAACATCAAAAGAATTTGTTTTTTTTTAATAATAGTCCTACCAGCGGACCTAAGCGTGTTGCCAGCTCTAAAATACGAATAAACACATCTAAATGCTTTACTTTACACATAACCCCAACTTTGTGCCGTTACAAGTACATTTCAAAAATAGAAATTTCAATACTAAACTCTACCTCAAAAAAGGACAAGGGATAGATGTCGACGAAAATATATTTTATTTATTACATAATTGGGATATATAGGCTATATAGGTGTTTGAAAATTACGTTTAGACATAACTAGATATTAGAATACATCAATAAGATATTTTTCAGAAATCAGGATTAAGTAAATCTTTATAAATTAGCAGGTATCCTTGCAAGGTCAGAAAATATCCTTGCAAGAAGAAATGACAGACTATGTTCTTATAATGTTATAGTGTCCTAATTCTCAAGTTACATAGATGTTAAAGTTTACTTTTCCGCAGACGAAGAGCTTGACGCTCTGCCTCGTCCTTTTTTAGTCTTTTTGTCATCGCTCTCTTGTTTTTCATTACTTTTCTCTGATGTTGGAGTCTCTACAGGTTTCTGTGTCTGTGTCGGCTGCGGAGTACTTGGTGTGTTCTGTAAAAATAAATCAATTTACAGAAAACGACATACCAAAACCAATAAAAATAAAAATAAACTATTCAAGCAATAAGGAAAATTTATGTTATTAGAATATCTTATATATTCCGAATTTAAGCAAAACTCTTTTACTTTTGCTGCATTAAAAAAATCGGACAACACTTTAACTATGTAAATTGATGAAAACTTTAAATTATATCAAAAAAGCTTTAAAACAATTATTCTTAAAAAAAAGTTACATCGATTTCAAAATCACATACATTATCTTTTTTTTCACGCAATCTGTTCGGTGACGCGGACAATACAAATAATTTTTCGCAAGTGTTCATGCTAGCGCTTCATGCACAAGAGCGACGGCTTTAAGCAATTATATATATTTTGAATATGTTTTATAGCATAACTGCCTCAGTGGTCTGATGGCTAGCAAACACGGCTGCAGGTGCGAAGGTCCTAGGTTCGATTCCCGTTCGGTCCGCAAAAGTACAGTTATTGAGTATCTGTTAAAAACTTCTTACTAATACTCCAGAGTTAGAAAGTTGGCGGTGTGTCACCCCCGTGCCTCAGAGAGTACGTAAAGTCGTCACTCTTATACCTAATCTCTCACCGGTTGAGTTATCGTGTCATCGGAGTTTGAGAATGAAAGGAATATAGAGTGCACTTGTATCTGTGCGTATACTTGTACACTATAATATCTCCTGAACAGGCTAATCTCAGTGAGAAATCGGTCAGGAGTACATTACAGCATTGTCGACTGGGTTGGGTTACCTTCTTCTTGGCATGTTTGTCCCGCTTGGCGCGGTGGTCGTCGTCGTCGCGCTTGCGGCCCATCACGCCCAGCAGCTTGCTGACCATGCTGCTGCCGCCGCTGGGCTTGCGGCCCTCGCTCTCCTCCGGCGACTGTTTGTTACCAGCTCTTACATTATGTCACTAGCTTTTAACACACACACACACATAGGCGAGTGTAGATATACACAAGCCTGTGTGTGTGTGTTTATTTTTTTTCTTTGTTGCGGCTATAAAGTATCACTTTGATCATTTCCCAGCTATTGTGATAGTGATACGTGTTACCTGGAGTGACTATCTTTTTATTAATTTTATGTAAGCCGTCCATTCGTTAGAACGTGAGGGGTAACAGACGTAAGTCAACATACAAACATTCGCATTTATAATAAATAGTCAAATGAAAAGAACTCTTCAATGGATAGATACGTCCTGTCACACTTAAAAATTTTCTCACTCAAACATACTAATAATTATGCACTCACTCTTCCAGTCATATAAAAGCCATTTTTATTTACAACGTACATTTGAAAAACATACTATTTATAGTAATATCCAGAAATATTAGAAGAAAATATGATTATATCCCAGATTTTTTGCTAATGTAATGAAAACTTTGAAATATTACTTAAAGACGCAAGCAACTCTATCACAGACGAATGACGCGAGACAAGTAGGCAACCTCATATTAGGATGGTACATTTTTTCGACAATGTAGTACGATGAGGACAAATCTATTGATATAAATCTTCGACAACTTCTAGTTGTTACAAAATTAACAAGTCTATATGCAATACTGGTTGTACTGGAAAAAATTACAAACATTCAGGCCTACCTTACTAGCTTCCATAGATTCTTGACGCTTTAACCCTTCACTCTTCTTCATTGATTCGGACCTCTTAGCCTCAATCTTTTCTTGTTTCTTCTCCGCTTTCTCTTGCTTTTCTTGCTTCTTCTCCTTCGCTTCTCTAACTTCTTTTTCTTGTTTACTCTCAGACCTCCTGACAGATCCACTACGTTCCATCGCCTTTTCTTGTTTAGTTTTCTCTTCTACTTTCGGAGTTTCTTGTTTCTCTTCTATTTTCAGTTCGACCTTTTCAATCTTCTTCATTGAGTCTTGCTTCTTTAATACTTTCTCTTCTTTCTCCTGTTTCTTAGACTTCTCCTTAGTTTTGAAGTCTTCATCTTTGAGACTCGAGTCAGACTTCTTCCTTGTTTTTGGTTGCACTTCGCTCACACTCGGCATCGAGTCTTGCGTGGTCACTAGCTTTTTACTGAGATCTGATGTTAGTACACTTAGTTCTGTGCTTGATCGGCTATCATCTACAAAAAAATAATAAAAAAATATATAAATATACCTATACGAGCTCGTACATTTTGTAACGTGACTAGGTTCTTTTTTTTCGTTTATATAATTTGTTTATAACTAAATAAAATGATATCTATTAATTTTCCAACTGATCATTATTAGCACAACGATACACATTTATACACATATAATATATTACTCAACAACTGACATTTTAACCTTATAAAATAGAAAAAAAAACGAAAAAATCAATAATCACCGATATTAATATCTCTCGAAGTATCTATATTGGATACATCCATGCTGCTATCCACAAAAGACTCGTCGGATAGCGACAGCGAGGCGAACGACGCGCTCCCCTCAAACGTGGACTTGTCCAAGCTGGCCTTGGGCGATGACGTGAAGATACTTGGCGTACTCTGTTTAGCTGGCGTCCTGTAGATTAAGATTATATTAAACTAGAATAGTTTAAAAATAGATTAAACTTTGGTACTTAATTAGTTTTAAACTGTTTTTCAATCTGTATTTGTAGCTTCTACGAAATTTTACGAAATTTCTACAAAATAAACTATTTCTTACTTATTTATGAACTCTGAAATAAAATTTGAATAATATATTTTATTTACTTCAATGTAAATAGTGCAATTATAAAAACTTTCATTATAAATCAAATGATCCCAGAATTTCTACTTTTCCATGCCAAATATTCCACAAAACCTACGCGAAACATAATTTAATTAACATAACCTAGTCACAGCTATATTTAAATAAAAAAAATAAAATAAAAAGTACAATTTACAAATTTAACTTCTTCTACTTCAATACAGAAAATCTGTAGCAGATTTAATCATATATACCTACATAATTATAATTTACAAATCTGTTATGATACGCAAGTCATGTGTTACATTATATTTATTATCTATGCCGCCCTGCTCTGGTCTCTCTCTCTTTTTGGTTCGCCATGATACTGGATAAACATCTAAGTCTTGTGAAATATTAATAATAAATTATATTAATAAAATACAACATAAAAACAGTAAATAAACAGTGGTCTCATTTCACACAAACATAAGACAGGCAGGCATTGAGCAGTTAGATCATCTAGGCAGGTAGGTCATGTAGGGTCATACCTGGCAGGCAGCCTGGCCGCGTGGTGGGTAGGCGAATCCTTCTCCTCGGCGATGCGGGGCAGCGTGGGCTCGTCCGCCTTGTCTGGCGGCGGCGGCGTGGGCGGCGCGGGCGCGGGCGGGCGCCACGGGCCCGCGCGCCGCGCGCCGCCCGCCGCCGCCGCGCCCGCGCCGCCCGCCGCGCCGCCCACGCCCGCGCAGCACAGCGGCGATATAGAGCACTTGGCCTCCGCTGACCGGGGGTGGAGTCTGTGTTTGTGTTTTAAATCATATTCTTAATATTTCCATTTTTTATATAATTTTACAATGACACATCTAAAACAGTTGTATATGCTATTACATATTAGCTTAAATAAAATTAGTAGTTAAATACAACAGGTAGCAAAAATAAAAATGTCAAGGTACTAACGACAATAGAACTAACAATTACAGAAATAATATAAATATAAATAATATGAAAACAAAATTATACAGAAAAATATGAAGCACAGGCAAAAAAATAAAGCAATATGAATATGTAATGGTGTGCAAAAAAATGTAACTGAAAAAAATCATATTACAACTTATTTTTAAGATTATATTATTTTATACATTAAGTTATAATAAAAAAATCCAATATAATTAGCTTGTTATATGAAGAGATTTTTAAGTCAACGAATTTGTTAGCCTTACTCCGCTAAATGCCTAGCAGTTGCCTATATGATACTCCAAATTATACATACATATGTGTATACTCATCCAAATCCGTCCAGCTGTTACAGTGTAAAAATTATACACATACATACACACATACAACTCATTTCATCATTCACATTTATGTATAAGAATAATGCGATTATACAGATAATTAAAAAAATAATTTCTAATTAATAAAAAAAATAAAAAAGTGATTTAGCCAAGCTAAAAAAAATAAAAAAGCTAATGAATAAAAAAAATAGCAAAAAAAGTTAATTAATAAAAAAAAAGTTATATAAAAGAACAGTTCATTATATCATCATCCCACACACCTGTCCGGCGACAGCGCGCGCCTGAGCAGCGGCGAGGCGGGGTCGCGGCGCGGCCACGCGCGCCGGCACTCGCGCGTCGCCAGCGGGGACGGGCTGCGCGCCTCACACCCGCGGCTACATGATACATGGCACACGTGATAGTGATAGTGGTCGTGATAGTGACAGTGATAGACTGATATTGACGTGTGGTGGTGAGTGATACAACTTGTATGTTATCTATATGCCTAGCAACATCAACTGAAATACCGCGAACTTAGTTTTATGTAATGGAACAAAATTTAACTTCAATATATTAATAATATTTATTATTATTTTATGTATTAATTTAAACATAAAAGTTGTAACATATAAATCACAAACCAGATTTTTTTGTTAGTAATTGGTATGAAACAAACACATGAATATAGATACAACACCATACGATATAATATGAGATCTAATAGAAGACAAAACACAGCAGAAAGAGATTATGTATATTATTAAAATATTACATCATTACAAAAACATTGCATGAAAGTCGACAGACAACCGATGACTTTACTCCACCATTTGCACGAGTCATTATTATATTAAAGCAGTATGTGTCATGGCATCTTAAGTTTGTAGGCCTGCAGCATGTCATTAAGATGGGGAAAGTTCCGTTGGGTATTAATATGTAGTACTTATTTTTCTAACCGGTGAGTCCTACATAACCACATTTCGTACAGGTAGTATACATAAATGTATTTCCCAACATCAGAAATACATAAATAGTAATTATAATAATCCTGATCTCCTGATGATTTTGGATAACACGATTATCTCACTAAAACTGGCCAACTGTGCAGGCTCTCTTTTCGTTTTACTTTCAAATACCGACAGAACGATACTTAGATACGATCTTTGCAAAATCAGACGCAGGACTGACGGTTTTAATTAGTTTGTCATGGCACAGAGTTATATCACCAACTTCCCAACTCCGGGCTGCTACTGATAGTATCTTAACTACAAAACTCCATAACAACACTAGTCCCGATTCGGGTCTTGAACCCGGTTCCGGTCCGGTTCTGAAGACGTACTATACAGTGTAGTAATAAAACAAATAATACCTGGTAGGTGATGCGGGTGCGGGCTGCGGCGAGGGCGAGGGCGTGCGTGCCAGTGGCGACAGCGGCATGTGCTGCAGCGACGCTCGGCGCACTTCACCCCCCAGCTTGTGCTTCAGGCCATGAAGTGATGAAGGCCTGGAGGATTTGGATATTTAATTTACATAGATATAATATATCACAAGTTTGTCCATACTTTATAATAATAATTTGGAAAAGAGCTAAATTGGTGTTGTTCATACCGCTTAGATTATAATTCTTCCCGTTTAGTGTGGGCCGGAGGACAATATCTCGGCTTTAAAACGTATACCGTTAGTTTAACAAAAGTAGCAACTTATTAGGAGCTGCGTTATCAAAAATACAAGCTTTCTTAATGTTCACCGAGCTTCGAAATAAGGTGGCACCTCAAGAAGAAAAATGGAAGATCTCAGACATTGCTATTGTTATAGGATGATGGGTTCTCCTATAATTAGTAATTTAAGTAGATGTAAGGCATGTGTTAGATGTAAGTTAATATGTACAACTGTTGGGAATCCATATAAATAAATATGTGGTTCATACCGCTGGTAGTGGGTGGTGGGGTGCGTGGTGTGGAGGGGCGAGTCGGCGGCGGGCGACGCGGCCGGCGACGGCAGCTCGCTCGCCGCGGCTGACACCATCTGCCCACATCGCTATAGATTACATAAGCATACATATAAACCACAGACTAAGGAATAATATAAATGAAGTTTCATAAAAATAAACATGAAGTCAAACAAACTGTCAATGTATTGTTAGATAACTCTAAATACAAAAATTGATATTATCTCCAGCAAAAATAATAATTTTTACATTGAAATTTTTATAACCTTTGAATTTACTATTTATTTTTTTATTGACAAAATAATTTTTACTAACAAAAATACAAGCATTATTAACTGCAAAATATTTTAAAATAGCACACAAATATGTATATAATATTTTTTACCAGTAAATTGTCATAAGTAAATATTACATATACTAGCGAATAACCCTATATATATATATATATCCCTAGCACTTTAGAAACGTAAATTCGAATTTTGCGTAAATTTAATCGGTAAATGAAATAAAACCTACCCTGTATGTAGTTCAGTAAAATTCGTGAGCCATCCCAAAGATTACTCCCGACAAACAGAAACACAGACAGACAAAAAGCGAAAATATAGTTATTTTGAAACCATAGACAGACACTTCAATTATTTTATTTCTATGTATGTATTATTATAGATTAGCTAAATACATAATATAAAAATACCTGATGCATCTCCTGCGAGGCTCGCTTAGTAGATATCCGTCTGAACAGCGAGCAGCGCCGTCGCGGGCGCGGGCGCGGCGGCGCGGAGGCTCTACGTCCGCCCGCGCGACGCCGCCCTCCCGCCTTGGGTAAACATAGCAGTGTTTATTATTTACTAAATTTATTTAAAAAAAAAGGAAGAATATCATCTGGGGCACACAGACTATAATTTTTATTTTTTACTTATATTTATAACTCATACTAAAGAATTATTAAAACAGAATAAATAGATGTTAAAGCCAAAAAAACTAGCGTGATATGCTGTTTATGCTACTAAATTCGATTTCTCAAAAAATCTTGAGATTTCTAATCAGCCATTTACAATCGCTTCGATCGGGTGTGTACCTAAGAGTATTTTGGCCATACATTTTATCGCTTTATTTTAAACCCTTTAGACAGCGTACACCGATAAAGCAACTAACTCATCGGCCACTTTTTTAGTTTTTTTAACTTAATCTTCTGTTTTTTTACCACTTACTTGAATAGTAGTTTGATCTAGCGGCGTAGCGCGGAGAGTCGCATGAGGCGCTGCCAGCAGCAATCTAAGGACCTAATGAACAAACAAATATTCTTAAAATAAAACAAAACAATACATTAGTAATTAGATAGTCATAATATATAACACAGTTATAACATCCAACTGGGACTCCTAGAATCCTCGAAAGCTCCTCCAAGAAGCCACGAAATAAAAGAATTGAATTGAACACAGTAACAGCTTATATAAGTTGTTTTTAAAACAATTTTATTGGTCAAAAACTAACTTGATAGTCCAATCTCACTGATTGCCATCTGCACAGGTGATATTAAAGTACATAGCAATCCAATATATGCTGAGCCTGCCCAAGCTTTGAACTAGAACCCAGAACCTCTAGGTACAGCCATTAATAATATCTACCACTCCACCAAAACAGCTAATATTTTATTAATTACTAAATAGCTTGTGTTTTATTCTTCAAACAAATGTAAATATTAACTAGCGACTCACCCACGCTCCGCTCGGGTTCGTCCCTATTTATGTTTTAGCGTTTAGTATAGATATATAGATAGATATAGTATATATTTCTGAGAGATGAAATATTTTCCCGCAGTAAAAAGTATCCTATATGTTGACCCGGATAACCAGCTATCATCATACCAAATTTCATCAAATTCACTCAAGTGTTTTTTTACGTGATGCGGTCACAGACAGACAGACGAAAATTCTAAAAATTATAGTTTCGGCCTCTGTATCGATAATAATGTCTATTTCAATAAGATTTTCCAACAAATATTTAATGTACAGATTCGGCTTAGTTACAATTTTATTATATGTATATATTATAGTTCAAATTCAAACGAATGTATATAATACGCAACGTACCTGTGTGTGCAACAGTCCCTGCACAGATTCCCCATTGAGCTGAGTGATGAGGTCTCCGGCGCGCAGGCCGGCCGCCCACGCCGCGCCTTGCTCGCTCACCGCCTGCGGTAAAATATCCCTTATTTATTATCACTTTACTCTTCAAATTACAATGACACAAATTTATTTAAATTGTATGTATTTTGGAAAATAGCGAAAACTGATATTAAAATTAAATTTATAAGATTTTTCTCATAGCTATAATGTTTTGTAGATATTTAATTTACAAATGGATTTAGTCTGTAGTGGAAAGTAAGTTAAGGGTTGCACAGTTTGTAACCCGCAACTTTGGGTTTTTTTTTATATTTTCAATTTAGTTTATTTATCCACAGCGTGGAGAAAATATAAAAATATGTCCATTTAATTTAATACTCCATTTTCTAAAGTTTACAACATCTAATAATTTACTATTTCCAACAATAATTATTTGAGCCTGAATGTACAAAAACATATAAAATAAAAGACCAGTGATTCCCTCTCGCTTCAATCAGGCGCCTTTCGACATTATAACATTATTATGTTCAGGCAACGTCATCTTTTGCCAAAGATCGTAAAATGACTAAGAGAGTAGCCTATATGTTACTACAAGTCATAGTATATCAGTACCCGTTTGAAGGTGAAGGAGTAACCAGCACACATACGCACATACAAACTTCCACATTTCCAATATCCCACCTATAGTCTGTTTTTTAATCTCAGAGACAAAACTGACATTATATGGGTTTCCAGTTTTTTGCAATTTTTAAATAATGATCTGCCACTATCGAAAATTAACGTTAATAAAATCAAGTATCGTTTTTTTATAATAAGTTAAAATGAAATAATGTGTAGGTACTTATTTAAAACGTAATAATACAAAATTAATAATGCAAATTTAAATTTAAAAATGTGGATTTTAACGATACTTAATGATTAATAAATATGATATTTAATGATTTAGAATTAATAATGTGAATTTTAATGATACAGTTTGGAATATAAAACTTTGAAGCTAATCGTCTAATAAAGATAAAAAGTTACGATTCAATAAACCGGTATCGTAGGTATAACACTACACAAAAGAGCTGACAGCAATGTTTGTACATTTGACATTTGCATGTGTCAATTTAGTTTCTGAGATCAAAAAAAGAGACTATAGAAGCTATAAAATACAACCATGTACTAACCGAGACCAAGTGGTGCATAGTGTAGTAGTCGGTGTCGCCGTAGTACACGCGCACCGTGTGGATGGTGAAGCCGAAGCCGCGCGGCCCGCGACGCACCACGATCGGCGGCTTCGACGACTGGATCAACCTAGACATACATACAACATGACGTGTGATAGATAGCGAATGGAGTCTCACTATTATTTGCAAATTTATAAAGTTTTACCAAAGTATATTTTTTTAATTTATTTAAACCTTTATTTATAGCATATCCATATACAAATACTAAAAGAGATCTAAGAAGTAAGAGTTTTAATGAAAATATGCTCAATAAGTAAATTAAAAAAAATGTTTAAATTTTCATAATTCTTTTTTTAAGAATAAATTCCTAAAAATAAAGTTTTTAAATACCATTTAAAGTAATTTTTATATAAAAAATATATTTATATACCTATTTACATAATGACTTACGTCCCATCCAAATTTTAATTTTTAGTTTACACAAAACTCCTATAGTAAAACACATTTAATTTTCTCCAAATTTCCCTATTTTCCACGTAACTTTCCCATTTCCCCTCTAAACACCTTATTTAAAATATAACAAACATTAAAAACCAGCCAAATCTATCAATCTATTCTCTATCAATAGAAATACCAACAACCAATAAACGGCATTTCATTACTTACATATATAATCAGTTCTCTATAGTCTAGTCGACAAGTTGAAAATGGTACAAAATAGAGATACTGCTCTTAAAATTATGTGCGATAGCTCATTGGATCCGGAATGACGCCTAGAAAAATGTGCCAAAAGCGTGTATTAAAGCACATAAAAAATTGCAAAATTTATAAACAATTAAAGATGAAAAAAATGACATTTCGTTTTTTGCATTGGCAAAATAAAATATTGATTTCATAAACTATTAATTGAAATATTGATTTCATAAACTATTAATATTTAAGAAATTTCAAAAAAAGATTCTGAAAGAGGAGGAAATTTCCAAAGAAAACTCCTAACTCCCGGAACTCTATCTTCATTATTTATAATTTTAATTTAACGCTGAAAATTGGTCTGCGCGCGACATTTTTAGGTTGCACGCGTGGCGTCAAAAGCGAGTACGGCACATTAATTTATTTATTTAAGGTATTGAATTTTTTTTTAATTTTACTTAAAGTTAATTTTTCAACAAGTTAAACAATTGTTAACTAACAAAATTTTCTCGAACTACCGTCTTAATTGTAAGTGAAAAAAAATGTTTAAATAATGGTCGTAAAGAATTTTCGCTTTGTAGAGCCCTTCTCACATACATACTTAATAAGATCGCGCCATAAAAGTTAAAAAAATATTTATACTTTGTTTATAATAATTTTTTTACTTGAACAAAAACTGAAAAATCCAAGTAATGTTGTTCAAGTCTCAACTTGTCGACTAGACTACTATTGATAGATACACTTACCAAGAAACAGCATCTGATTATTTACATATACATATAATAGTATAAACAACTCACGAGTGGTTAGCGATGGCGAATGGCGAGGGCGGGTCGCGGCACGGCGAGGAGTCGCGCGACGAGTTGGTGGAGGAGGTATTGCCCGCGCAGGGGGACGCTGCGCCGCCTATCGCTATTGTTGAGATTGTGTCTTCCGCTGAGTTACAAATATTTATATTATAGCTGCGAATTACTAGTATTCAGCCCTTTTAATGACCCACTGCTGAACGTGGGTCTCACTTTAATACGGCATAAGGCCATAGTCCACCACGCTAGCCAAATGCGGGTTGGCGGACTGAGCAATGAAGCATGTCTTTTGAAAACTTGCTAGGTACTCTCAGACATGCAAGTTTCTCAATGTTTTCCTTCTCCGTAAGACAAGTTGTAATCATGTTGGAAATAATGGGCAAAACCCGGGTTTTAAACCCGCTTCACTCAATTTCCAAAGCGAGCTCGTTACCATTGAGCTACCACCGCCAACACTTTACACTGCAATTTACTAAGTACCTAACAAATTACTAGTTAAATCCAAGATTGGTATTTTTGACAACCATTTATATTTGACATTTCCGTTAAAAACAATGAGCGATTGGGTACTGTGTAAGATCATTCAAAACACAGTTTGATTAATATATAAAATTCATAACTAAATATTATCTGTTGGGAAATTTTTATCAAAATCTTTTCAAATTTCATTGACAAACCAATAGCGACATAAACAACAAAACATATACATATTAATAAAATTAAAATAAAAACGTAATTACTATATAAGTCACCTGGATGTATGACTAGGGACAGGCCCGAGGTGCTGGCGGAGCGGCGCATGGCCTTGGGCGCGATGAGCGCGGACGGCTTCTTATCCACTTTGTCGAGCTTATCTATGCCCTTGTCTTCTTTCTTTTGCGCCTCCGGTCTGTTGAAATACATGGGTATATAGTTATAACTAACATAGTACAGATGTATATTTACAGAAAATCTGGATTTCTTTATTTGCTTTTTGTTTTTTATGATTATAATTTTGAAATTACAGAAAAAAATATATTCATATATCAAAAATATATAGACATAAAGTTTTTATACAAGTACAAAAAATAGGTGTGGTCCCTTAAATATATAAAATAATATATATAGCTGCAATTAATTAAACGCATTAGTGTCCATTTTATATAAGACAATTTTGACTTGACAAGAAGCTGCAATATTAAATTAAATAAAAATACATATAACAAAAATTAAATTCCATTTATAGGTATAAAGAGCATTTTCAATTTAATTTACTGTACAACTTTTCTTGTATATGTGTATGTATAAATATGTCAAGACATTATTACACACAGCACCATCTAGTTCCATGGTAAGCTACGAGGCTTGTGTTATGGATACCAGATAGATGATACATTATACATATATAACTTTAAATACATACATATTATAAATATAAACACCCATGACTGGAGTACAAACATTCGTGTTCACCACACAAATGAATGCCCCCAGCGGGACTCGAACCCGCGACCGCTAGCGCAGCAAGTTGGGTCACTACAAACTGAGCTAAACGTGTCGTCATGTATGTATGCATGTAGGTATGTATGTATGTGTATATAGGTGTGTGCGTGACTCACATCCTGGCAACGAGCGCGCCGTGGCTGGCGTGCAGCGGGTGTGCGTGCAGCGGGTGCGGGTGCGGCAGCGGGCGCAGCGCGGCGCGGCGGCGCGCGGCCGGCGACACGTCGTCCGAGTCCGTCTGCGAGGACTCCGCCGTCGACCCGCCGCCCGTGCCCACCATCTGCGGACAAATGTACATCCATGTTATATGTGTATATACACATGGGAACACACAACAAACCAACGCTATCAACGCTAGTTTCAAATATAAACATATGTTTACATATAACAAACTAGCGTTGATAGCGTTGGTGGTAGGCTGACTCCCCATACAAACTATAATCCCTATTTTCAACCCTTTAAGGGATGGTTTCTAGAATAAAAAATTCCTAGGTCCATCCCAGTTTCTCAAACTATCTTCTTACCATGTTTCATCTAAACGGGTCCAGTAGTTTTTACAAAAGTAGAAATCTTTCCTCTTTATAATAGTAGTGTAAATAAAAACCTTTACTTTACATATTTTTACATAGAGACAATAAATCAATTCGTATCCCCTACCAAGTCATAAATATACCTACATGATCACAATTTCACTTTTCCATAGTAGAAGTCATATGAGGTTAAAAAAAATACCAAAAGTTAAAATTAAGTCAATGGCAAGAGTAAATTGTATCAAATTAACCGAATATTTACGTAATACGTATATCATAATGGCGTTAAGTTTTTGATAATTATTATTTTTAGGTTAAGGTGAAAAATATTGTCTGTGTCACAAAAGTTTAATTTTTTACATATATATATATTTAAACTCTGAGAGAGAGAACTTTTATGACAATTCTATTAGCACATTTATACAAAAATCATTACATAATGTTTATTATTGTTAATCATTTAAAATTTTACTTTTATTTATCAAATTTTTATTTTCTGTTTTTTTTATTTAATATATAAGAGTATTAAACATTGTATTTAAACATAAAACAAAAATATACTCAAATTTAACACATAGCCCATATAATGTTACTTAAAAACTAACTACGCAAATAAAAAAGAAAAATCAAAAACCTTATATAATAAAAATAATACGACTAAAAATCTACACCATAATAATAAAAATGTAAGAAAAATCTAACATCTTATTTATTAAGACTTTATAATTACAAGAGTGAAAATCTAAGATGGCAAAGCAGTTAAAAAAAATATAATGCAAATGAAACTCACAGGGCACTTGGAGTGGTGGGCGGCGGGCGCGGGCGCCGTGGGCGTGGTGGGCGGCCCCGCGCTGTCCGGCGTGCCCGGCCAACTGTCCGTGCTCTGTTACAAGCGGACGCGTTATAATATATGTACATATGTACTTTAAATATAATTTATTATTTTTAATTTATTATGTAATTTAAATAACAAAGCAAAAAATACCAGCCAAAAATTTCGGTCGCGTTATAGTATTTTTCAATTAGGAAAGAAAACGCTTCAGTTCTGAAGACTGGCGGAAGCTCAGTGGGACATTTACGTAATTTATGTAATAAAAATAAGCTTATGATTTTTTTTATATAATTAATGTTTTAATTCGTATAATAGTTGTTCCAAAAGTTAATATTTCTTTTTTTTATTGTAACGGTCAAAAGACATACACACCACCTCACCCAATTTTCGACATAATTAAAAAATAGAGAAAGCTAAAAACGTGAACATTTCTTACATATCACATAATGTATAAAATATGCCATTAAAGTATTACTAAGCATAGCCTTCATAACATAAAGCATGAGAAAAAAATTATAGTGCATAAATGAAAGAACGTACTATTCATCTATTACTAACATTAATGAAAACTACATATGTATATTGAATACATATAATGAGTTCCTATTGAAAATAACTACAAACCGTTATCAGCTAACTTCATCATGTCGCTTTTTGGCAGTCGGTGTGCGCGCGCATCGTTAAAATTTTACTCACATATTTTTTTCCAAACCTCCCAAAAGAAGTATAACTTCAAAAATACGAATGAATACCCCAATATTATGTGTTCATTTAACTTCTTAAGTTATTAAAACTTCTGTATTGAAACATATTTCAATTTTCTTTTATAAATAGAGCAATAAACCAATTACTTAATCGGTCCCAAATTTTCTTTCTATACGACGATAAGATCATAGAAAATTGGCAACTAAATACTTAAATGAAAATGATTATCGCAGAGCAAAGCTATTTTAGTATACAGGTGATATTTTCAAGGAAGCATAGATGAATACTTTTTAAATTTTCGATATTTCCTTCAACATTTACTTTCAGACGCCTTTTTACAAAAATCACCTGTATATTATACTCCGTAACAAAATATAAGAGGCATAAAATAAAGCTATCAACAGAAGTATAGACTTCAAATTAAAGAAATAAGAAAGACGGAGCGCATAGAACCATGAAACGAAGCCACGTAAAGTTTTCAATAAATCAAGCAAGTTAATCATTATAATACTTTTTAAATAAAACTATCTTTTCGGATGCTTTACAGCAATCATGGTCACGGGAGAGACTGAGGTGTTAGATGTCTCTAAGGTATTATATAGTTGTTACAGACAGCCTACCCACAAATAACAAAATGAAATCAAAAATTGAAAAATGGCATCAAAGTACCTTACAATATTTTAACTTTTAACTTTAATCAATAACCAAAAATCAAAATAAATTCGCGAAAAAATCCGAAAAGATAGTTATATTTAAAATGTCAAGTATTCGCGTAAATCTAAGAAAGTATCATTATAGTACTATTTTATGCTTCAAACATTTCTTCTATACGCTCTAACTTATTTAGTATGTAAAATAGGAATGTTAGTATTAAAATAATAAATAAGTACCCTTGAATCGTGTTCAGCGGCGGAATGTGAGTGGTGATAGTGGCGTCGCCACTGAGGTGAAGTGGAGGAGAAGGCAGCGAAGAGTGCCTCGTCCGCCTCGTGGGGTTCGTGCTCGGCCGCTTCATCCGTCTCCGCCTCGCTGTGGTTGTAGCGGTCGCAGCGACCTGGGGGTTGGTTGCTTTTAAATTTTTTTTGTCTTAAAAGTAGTGCTATTTGCTGTGCCAGCGATTGCGGGTTCGAGTCCTGCTAGGGTCATTCGTTGTATGATGAGCACGAATGTGTGTGTGTTAATATCTCAACATATTTATTTATTACCATTACTTGCATTTTAATTGAACTTAGTTTTTTTGTGCAAGTTTTTTTTATTTATTTATTTTTTGTATACGCAATAGTATTTTAGAGAAATAGTACATGCACAGATCAGTCAATACCTATTCAGATGTGGTTTTTTTTGCTGAAGAAACTCCATGGTATATGCTTTAAGTCGATTTCTCTTAATGCTGTCAATATAGAAACTGCATAATGTGTGTAAGTATTTAATAACGGACATAGCATTACCCAATAACCTTAGCTATCTAAGATAATAATAATATAAAATCCACTCCACATCCACTCTAACTTACTGTCGAAATAACTTGTATCCTCATCATTCTCCAGTTGTGGGATAAATTCAGCTTTCCTCCGTAGCAGATTATTCCAGTCCAAGCCGTAAAAGTATATGTGCTCCTAAAAACAACACAAGTTTTCATTTATTATTAACTAGCGACTCGACCTCGCTTCGCTCGGGTTCATCCCAAAATTACTTCCTTGTACAAACTTTCTTGTTCATTTTACCCCCTTAAGGTATGATTTTCGGGATAAAAACTATCATATGTCCTTCCCAGGGTCTTAAACTATCTTTTTAATAAAATCAAATTTCATCTAAATCAGTTCAGTAGTATCGGAGCTTATTCGGTATAAACCAACAAACAAACAAACAAAAAATCTTTCCTCCTTATAATATTAGTATCGATTAATATTTAAGAAAAATCTTAATTATTTCTATAATGCTTTAAAGGAATTTACGCCAAAAATTAATAACATGAAATGTCACGTTGGACAAGCTGCAGTTCCAAAGGTTTCCGGTGTTACTTTTTCGGTTAAGGAATTGTCATTAATGGCCTGGGTTTGAGAAGTTAGCGGTATCACACCCCATGCTAGGAGAGATGTGCCAGGTCGGTCCTGTACCTGATCTTTCACCGCGAAAATCAAAGTGTCAACGATGAATGTCGACGAAAATCAAATCAGTGAGAGATCGGGTTACATGAATACAGACTCTAATATCTAATAAAATAATTTAGTAATGAGATTGGTCACTATAGCCAAAATCGGTCAGATTCATTATAAAAGGAAAAGACTAGGTGTTTTTTTTGGTCTTATAAACCTTCATAGGTCAACCCCCTCACCTTGACCTGGTGCGTGCCGGCGGTGCCGAGGCGGTCGCGCGGGTTGCGCGCCAGCAGCTCCGTGATGATGGCGCGCGCCTCCACCGCTATGGGGAAGTCGTCCTCCGACGGCCACTCTATGTCGTCTGGATATAATATACGTATATAATATTATGTTATATGAATATCATATATGTTGGTTTTGGGAATGATATGTGATATCAACAGTCTATTCTTTATTTTGTCTACTTAGAAGATATAGTAAAAGTTAACAAAAACCGTTATATATTACAAATACACAATCTAAAATGAGCCATCGTTCTATATCTTTCTTTCTGGGAAATAATTAAAAAAAATATTTTTATGAATATTTTCAATTACTCTCTAAATGTCGACATTTAAATAACAAGTGTATTTTTTTCACACCATTAACAGTATGCGCGAACAGTTCTTCTGGCGTGTCGCCGAAGAAAGGTACGCATCCAACGATGAATTCATAAAGGATGATGCCCATGGACCACCAGTCCACTGGTTTACCGTAACCCTGTAGAAGATTAAAATCATTATTGTTTTTATTACAAACAAGAACTTGAATACTAACCATAATATATAAATTAAAAATACACTATCAATTAATATTTTTATTTTTCAAAGTTTTTTTCTTTTAAATATTTACATTTGCAACTCCAAATATATAAATAAATAACATAAAAAGAAAAAATCTAATATATTCATTGTTCATTCCTGTTTTACGCGGCAACGAATCTACCGATTGACGTTTTTATTAGCTGTTTTTATCTCGTTACATCTAGAATTTCCTCTGTAATATTATTCACTAGTAACTAAATATTTTGTACATTCATATGTAAAGACTATTTATTTTAATTATACATGTATATTTAATATATAAACAAGTATATAGTTATATATATGGCATAGCAACCGACCTGCCTGAGTATGACCTCGGGCGCGATGTACTCGGGCGTGCCGCACACCTGCTTATCGGAGAACTGCCGCGCCTCGCGGTCCGCGTACTCCTCGTAGAGGTTTGTTGCCACTGCGCATAGAATGTTATCATAGTATAAAAAACCGGTCAAGTGCGAGTCGGACTTGCACACGAAGGGTTACGTATCACCGTACAAGATATAGCACTATGTATTATACTTTTGTATTTTAAAAGAAACATTTAGTTCTAATTTGTATGATGGCTATCTTGAAATTCGCCGTCTTCGATTTTTATTACTTTGTAGTCATAGAGGCAATAGAAATACACACGCTGTCAATATTTAAACTCTCTATCTATTATGGTTCATGAGATAAAGCCCTCTGACACACAGACGGACGGACAGTTTAGTAGTAGGGCCCCGTTTGGCACCCTTCGGGTACGGAAACCTAAACACCAAACATAAAGTACTATTGAATTTTACGGAAATTCTGTCAAATGTAAGGATTGAAAAAATACCAATTTTTATGGCGAACGATGGCATGTCGTGGCAAGTTACAGTTATACCCGTCAAACCTACAGTCGTTTCCCGACTGTCATACAAAACTAAGTATGACAGTCGGGAGAGCCTAATTAGCGTCCCCTCTCGCAAGCCCCACACGATTACCTTTTGATGATTTTTAGATATTTTAAGGCTGTATTTACTACTAAATATTATTACGTTTAAGTATAATATATTGTATATAAATTGTACGTAGCGTATAGCCCCAACTTAAATCATTATTTCAAGGTCGTTTGACGGGCATCTTTCTTATGATATATTTATTCACATCATAGAGCTTATGTAGAGATAGAGAATAAGAATAAAACTTACATGACATGAGACCCATTTTGCTGAGTCCAAAGTCAGTGAGCTTAATGTGGCCGGTTGCAGTGATGAGCAGGCTGGAAAAGAATATGATAAATTGTAAAATAGAAAATGTAAATAAAATTATTTTTCAACTATCTTATCACAGGAGAGACCGTGGCCGTTACCATGATTGCTGTAAAGCATTCGAAACGTCGGGAACCGAAGATCTAAATAAACCCGAAAAAAATCCCAAAAGATAGTCTCTTATAAAGGAAAAAATGATATTATGTTGACATTATAAAAATCTGTTAGTTACTTGTGGCTTACACCATAACATTCCTCTAAATGGTATGACACTTGTTTAAATAGTATCATGAGCATATTAGTCATTGCGTCACATTTCTACCTTATTAAATATAATAATTGTCTTATAAAATTCATTTAATATATGTTTCTCATAACATTTTAAAGATTCATCATTTCAAAATTAAAATGGTGCAGCATTTAAAGATGGTAATTAGCACGAACCGTATGTCGAGACTGACAGCTGGTTTAATATTTTTTTAGATTAACGCAAGAAGGCTACCTATTAATATTATGACCTACGAGTTTGCCTTTAGGATTCACATTGAAATTACATCAGACTACAATAATAAGATAACGGGGCGCTTATAAGACAATGATTGAAGCCTGAATTGATATCACAAAATAACTATTTATAATAAGCATCTTGCCACTGCATTATTGAATTAAAAGAATTAAACATTGCTTCAGTAACTATTAATCTCACCCACTTGGTTCGATCTATGTTACTTTACAGTACGTGTACGTGTGCGTGCTTGTGCGTGTAGGAAAGCGTTATATTAAACCAAATCAAAATATACTTCATTCAAATAGACTTTTACAAGCACTTTTGAATCGTCAATTTTACATTTTAAATTTAAATTAAATGTCAGTGTAGTAGTAGTGTAGCAGTTCTGCTGAGAAGAGGCGGCGAGCAACTCGACGGTTGCTCTTTTAAAATAATAATTGTTTACAATATTGCAATACAAAATTATCTATTTATTCTACGTGAGACCCAAACAGACACATTGACATCTACAAAGTATTCCGTGACGGTATAATAAGCTTTATTCAATGTTAGCGACTTATCCTCGCTCCGCTCGGGTTCGTTCCTACTTACGTTACTTTTAGTATAGATTTCTCAGAGATAAGATATTTTCCCGCAGTAAAAGTTATTCTATATGGTGACCCGGATAACCAATTATCATCATACCAAGTTTTGCGGTTTTTCCGTGATGCGGTCACAGGCAGACAGACAGACAAAAATTCTAAAAACTATAGATTCGGCCTCTGTATCGATAATAATGTCTATTTTAATAAGATTTTCCACAATATATTAATTAATGTACAGATTCGGCTTAGTTACAATTTTATTTATCTGTATAGATAATACAAACTTGTCCGGCTTGAGGTCCCTGTGCACGATGCCGTACGAGTGCAGGTACTCGACGGCGAGCACGGCCTCGGCGAAGTAGTGGCGCGCCATGTCGGGCGGCAGCGGGCCGGCGCGCAGCAGCGTGGCGCAGTCGCCGCCCTCCACGAACTCCAGGATCAGGCACAGGTGCCGCTTCGTCTCGAATGAGCAGTACATCGTCACCTGGGAACACGTGTAGTAGTTACATGTTAGAGGTGGTGGACATCGCTTGAAACAATACATATACCTTGAAATAATAAAATTCATAAATTCATATTTTGAAACAAAACAAAACATGTAATTGCGAAAATTTCAAGCACTTTTTTGTAACTATAATAGTTTTCTTTAATTTATAGATAAATCCATTATTATAAATATTAAGTAGGTATTCATAAATATTCGTGCAATTACAATAATTTTGTTATTGTTATTATATGTTACATGAGATATTTATTAATAAAATTTAATTGTAAAAATAATTTAATTGGCGCATTTTTGTACAACTAATTCCAATGTATGTATCTTACCACAAAAGGATTGTCCGCGAAGCTTAAAATATCTCGTTCAGCAAACGCTTGTTCCACTTGGTTTCTTAATATCAAGTTGTTTTTGCTGATTTTCTTCATTGCGTACCTACAATAATTATTAAATTTTATTAATTTATCCAAAAAATAGGGACATATACTTTTTGGAATCAGTCAAAAATAACTCAGCTTATAGTTTCTGTCTATCTACATACAAAATTATTTTGCAAAACCTCTATATGATTCTATGAACCATAATAAACCTTAAATATATATTTTATAGTTAGTAATTAAAAAAACATATATATTAAAAATATTTATTTTTATATCTAGCAACAAAAACATTTTAACACAAATCCAAACAAAAAGGTCTTATTTACCTTTTTAAAAAGCTGATAATTACCTCTGTCTGGTCTGTTTATGCTTGACTAGATATACGGCGCCGTACGCGCCGTTGGAGATCAGCTTGATAACCTGATAGTCGCTCTCCGAGGGCGGAGCGCCGCCCGCGCCCGGCGCTCCGCCCGCGCCCGGCGGCGACTGGCGGCCTCGCACCCTGGGGGATGAAGATAATATTTATTATATACTAGCTACTCACCCTCGCTCCGGTTGAATTAATTCCTCTTAACGGTTAGTATAGATTTCTCAGAGATTAGATATTTTCCCGCAGTAAAACTGATAACTATCCTAAATGTTGACCCGGATAACCTACTATCATACCAAATTTTATCAAAATCCCTCCAGTAGTTTTTCCGCGATGCGGTCACAGACAAACAGACCGAGAAATAAAAATTCTAAAAACTATATATTCGGCCTCTGTATCGATAATAATGACTATTTCAATCAGATTTTTCAAAAATTATTTAATGTATAGATTCGACTCAGTTAGAATTTTGTCGCAGATATATTGTAAAAACCGTGATATTATAATTGCCCGGAGTTTTGTCAATCATCTCCTTTTCTTACAATACCACGAAACAATTTTAGTTATAAAATAAAGTGAATTTCAGTGGCATTGTAATTACTCTAATTATATTGTCAGTAACAAACATACAAAATACACATACGCACTAATGTACAATCTATCGAATTTCGATATAAAACTGTAACCAACTTGGAGGGCGAGCAGTTCTGCGGCGGCGGCGGCGGCGGCGGCACGTGCAGCTCCGCCAGCGGGTCCTTGGACAGGCCCAGCTTGTGGATTATGTACTGCGGGATGTCTGTCGTCATGCCCTGGTGACGAACAGGGTAATATTAAACATATAATATCTATATCTGTAAATAAATCGTATATAATATATAAAATGATATCTTAATTTATATCTTGATAATATAAACAAAGCTGTTAGTTAAAGCAAGATGTCATTCATAATTCGTTATAGAAAACTAAAAACATATACTACGGGAAAGTCATATATAAGCAATACGTCATAAGGTCAACAGATAATATAGTTTACAAATAGATAATTACACAATAGTAATAAACTTTATTTTTAGGATTTATTTTTTTCTACACAAATATACAACAAACTCGTACAATGTCACATTTTTATTGCAACAAACATGACTAATCAAAAAAAACGAGTCCTTTTAATTAGCACCATGTAATCTTAATAACAAAAAACCAAATTTGACAGAAGCTCTCAAAAAACTAATTAAACGCACGATTTTCCAAAAAAAAAACAAAAACCAACAGCCCATATCCGCTGCCATACCTGCAAATGGCGGGCGTGACCCTCGGCGGCCTCCAGCAGCCGGTAGAACCGCTCGGGATCGAACTCCAGACACTCGAGCAGGCGCGCCGGCCGCGCCATCGCCAGCGTCAGTCGCGTCACCAGCGGCGCCACCTGCGCGCCCGCCTCCGACGACTTCTCGCGCGTCTGACACAAGACAAACAAACACACACACACAATAGATAACGTCTAATAATATCCTATATACAAAACCCAATCTACACTTATATTATCAAGAAATTAAGTTTATAAGTTTAAATGTAGGATTTGAAGTAATCTCTGAAAGTACTGTAATTAATAGAAACTATATTACCGCTAAGTATTATCTAAGTATATTTTTATACTGCCATACGTACTTTTATACGGTTTTTTGACTACCCTCAATTTTGTCGGGACATGCGTTATGATTAAAGAGATCACGTACTATATAGATGTTATAATGTTAAAAGAGGGATCAGAACAAAGTCTACAATGCCGATACCTTGCAGGTGACCCATAGCTCATAAATATATCAAACATTTTTTTTACTTATTTTATATAAGTGAAATAAATAGGCTAAACAGAAGATATAAAAATATCCTTTATTAACTTTATTAAATTAAAATAATATCTACCTCAGCCAGCAACCTGTCAAGACTGTCCGCCATGTCGTAGAAGTATGAACTCGTCACTTGTTTCGACTCGGACTTATGAAGGCAATCCCGCGCCATTTCCAATACCTGTTAATATAAACATATATATATTATAAAAGTATTCAAGCCCCCTCACACTTAAGCTTAACCCCTTCAAAACGTCGGGAAGCAAAAAATCAAAATAAATCCGTAAAAAACCGAAAGGATAATTTTATTTACTTTCTTAGATTTACGCAATTAATAATAAATATATGTAAGTATGTCTAATTTATATCTCACCTGTCGCTGTACAAATCTCTCGATGGGCGGACGGTCGGGTTTTTTATCTAATTCAGTCAGTTCTTCGATCAACCCCCTTAATCTATAGACACGACAACACAAATTTAAACGATTAAAAAATATTAGAAGATATATATATATATATATATATATATATATCGTAAAGAATATTTTGAGCTTTATCTTATAAATAAAATATTCACAATTAGTCAAAAAAGAAATGAGAAAATCCTCCTTTTTGGAAATCGATTAATAAACTTTATTTTATTTGTTTATTATAAGTAATAACTATTGTTCTATTAGTCGTTGCTAAAAATAGCTTTATGCTAAACCAGGAATCCATTCCGAATTACGCTCAAATCCATTAGGCCATAACGTTGTAATTTGAAGAGCTAGTGCTCTTTCTTAGTTACTCTCTCATCCGAACTTTTGTATTTATAATTTATGTTTTAAAAGAAATCAAAAAGGCAATTGCAACTAATAAAAAATAAAAGGTTTATGTTTTAAAAGAAATCAAAAAGGCAATTGCAACTAATAAAAAATAAAAGGTTTCTGTTATAATATCCGGTATTTTTCAAATTTCAATAATTGTTAAAGGAACAAAGTCCATAAATTATAACGCCTTAAATGCTTAAATTAAATATGATTACGTATAATACCCAGTATAAAGCCCATACAGTATTTATTTATTTAATCATTTGTTTCAGGCAATATTTACAAAAAGATCATAAATATGTAAACGTGTGGTATGTAATTGCCTTTGATTTTACTGGAAATGTTGTCAAATGCAATGGTTGTCAAAAAAACTAATTTTCATACTTTCAAAGTTAAAGCACTGTAGTGCTGTCTCGTTGCAGGTTACAGTTAAACTTATTAACCCTAGAGCCGTTTTCCGACTACCATATAAAAGTAAGTATGATAGTCGGGATCCACATATCTGCTCCCGCCCGATGGCCATATCTAGATGCCTTCGTTAGACCACTGTATGGAATTATAGAATGAGATTATACTGTACTCAAATAACATACTTGTCGTCCATGGCTCGTTGCGCGGCCGGGAACCGTGCAGCGAACAGAGACGACATGGCCGACACCGCGTCGTCCTTTGAGCCGTCCGACCCGCTGCCACCGCCCGGAGATCGGGAGGGCGAACTGAAGGAAGTAGTTGACATTTTATATTGATTACATTATACATACATTATGCCTTTTCTACATTTGAACAATGCATTAAAGCGCACCACTTTATTTATAGACTCACAGGCTAAAAAATCACTAAGCTCTGCTAGCGTAGGCTAGTATGGACTAGAATCTAGATAAACCAGGAAAGACTTTAGTATTGATTATATAGGTTGAAATTAAAAATCAAATATGTACTTTAATAATTGTTATCGATTTTTGATACGTATCCGGATAAATATCAAATATCGATAACAGTCATCAATTTTTGTTTTAAACCCTGATAGAATATACATACTAAACCTGTAAATATATACAGACAAACAACAATAATAAAACGATACAAACCTCAAACTGCGACTCCTGACCCTCCGCGGCAGGGCGCGGGGCGAAGGCGCGCGCGCAACGTGCCCGCTGCCACCGCTGTCCGACAGCGACGCCCAGTTCATACCGCTGCCTTGCGAGCTACTGTGATATAGTAAACATATACATATATTACATTTAGTCAAACACTAGCTAAACCGATGATAGACTTTATCCTGCCTAAATTTCTTTTTTTTTTTTTTGAAATCTCCGAATTCATACGAAACTCCTAAAGAAATCCTAAAGAAGTATAATTGGTTTTTCCAGATTTTTTTAATTGAGAGGTTAGGAGGTGGAGGATAACAAGTTTTCCAATTATTTTACCCTCAAAAACCTTATTCAAATTATTACTAACATTTTTAGAAGTAAGCCAAGTGTTAAGTGATAGTCCTTACCAACGAACAACTTTTGTGTTACTCTATCTGTATACTAAATTTCATTACAATCCGTCCAGCTGTGTAATAGTGAAGGATTAACAAACAAACATACAAACTTTCGCATATGCTAGTCCAATAGAAAGTCATATTCATATTTACTTGAGTGAGTTCTGGTGGTGGTGGCAATGCGGGCAGGGCGCGCGTGGCGGCTCGCACGCAGCCTGCGCCGCCAATAAGCGCTCTTGCGACGAGCATTGTGACTGCAATAGTGTTAATTGATCGATAATAATTATTTTTTAACTTAAAAATATTACATTCCTTTAGGGGAGGGATCCCTTCCCTATTTACATTTATACATGACTAGCCACTCACGCTTGCTTCGCTCGGGTTCGTCCCTAGGTTGATTACCCATACAAACTTTCATCCCCATTTTCACCCCCTTAAGGGATGATTTCCGGGATAAATTTCCGGGATAATCCTATGTCTTTCCCAGGGTTTCAAACTATCTTCTTACCGAATTTCATCTAAATCGGTTCAGAAGATCCAGAGATTACCCTCTACAACGTCACAATATAATAATAGCGATACAGATACTTTAAACACCTGTAATTTCGCGCGCTTGGCTTGACGTATCATACATAAAAAATGACGACTTCCGTTTGTAGCGACAAAATCGCTAATCCCTCTGTTATAATAATACTTTGACGTCATATTCGGTCTGACTAATGGCGTGCGTTTCATCTACTTTGAATTTCTTACCAATATTTGCACTTTTAAATAATTATTCTTTAATCAAAAAGAAATTACATTAAAAAATTGACATCTAAGTCTAAATTCAAAGGCAATAAAGAATAAAAAAATTCACCTTTATTTAAGTCACACACACATTCTCTATTAACAGCACTCATATTTTATCGTGACAAAATATTGTAATTCTGAATCATTTAAATCATGAGGAAATCAAGGCACATGAACTTCTCAATAACAAATGCCGTTGAAAACAATAAAAATGTCACATTTTCTTCAAAATGACTACCAAATTGTCATTTTGGATTTTATAAGGTTCTAAATCAATATAAAAAGAGTTAAAAAGCAAATTATAAATTAGAGTTTAATTCAAGTGCACTAATGTTTATGTGCGGGCAATAACGTAGTTATGCTAACGACTTGGACGACTTTCAAAGTAAATGATAAGGATAAATATAGGAATATCATCTTTATTCTAATCGTAGTAGAGTCTTATAATGCGCTAGATTTGAGTGTACCTAAAAATATGTAGGTTATAAAGAAAATATATACCCGCCACTTAGGAACATATGTTATCTATACAAATAATAAAAATGTAACGGATTGCTATCTGTACATAGAAGATATATGAGAAAAAATATTATTGGGAACTTTATAAACGCAAATAGCACACAAAACAATGATTGTTAGAATTTTTGTCTATTTGTCTGTGCGTTTGTGCACGCTAATCGCAGAAACGGTTTATCCGATTTAGATGTGGCTTTCACTAATATATTGTGGTAAGCTTCACTTAACATTTAGTGTTTGTTTCATGTCAATCGGTTCTCAAAAAAAAATTATGAAATTTAAAAAATCACATCGAACATTTGTTAAACTGAAAAATGAACGGTTTCCGTGGGGTAGATCTGTTTGTACTTTTCTAGAGGCGAACCCAAGCGAAGCGAGAGAGCGAGCCGCTAGTCAAATATTAAAATAATTATAGTATAGGCAAGAAAGGCAATGTTAAAGCTTTCAAATAGAGCTAGGGAATAATCCAGCTCTATTTTGAGTGTAAGTGGACTGTAAGCTGATGAAATTCCTCAAAAAGCAAGTTATTTTCTAACAATAAAAGCAAATTTATATTATATATATGGCAGCTATCCTGGCATTGCGCAAGGCTGCAGTCATAAAATTTAACTTTATGTAAAAATATTTCCGAATTATAAATATTAATTAACTTTAGTTCGTCAAATCTTTTTCAAATTCGCACAAACTCCATTTTATATGTATTTGTTCAAAAGAAATGGCTATTGAATCAAATTATAAATTGTAAAACAGCTGGATAAAGTTACACCTATGTTATGTGGAAAATATCATCATAAAATATCAATTTAAAAAATCTTATACCTCCTGCAGATATAAGAGTATTTTGGAACCCAAATCTTAATATTATAAATAACTAGCGACTTACCCACGCTTCGCTCGGATACGTTCTAATTTTTTTGAACGGAACCCTAATTCTTTTTTTAAAATACAAGTAGCGTAAGTTACTCCCTGTAACATTAACTATGTGTCAGGGAAAGTCCCATCAAAGTCAGTCCAGCTGTTTCGGAGATTGGCCGGGACAAACAGACAGGTAAACAGACAAAAAATTTAAAAATTGTATGTTTCTGATAAGTACCGTATATAATTTCATATGCCTTTAGTAAAAAGCTTACATTACAAACAGACAATTCAATTTTATGTATCTGTATAGATAGATATTATAAATGAATTATGTATTACTTTTTGGCAAATGGCCTGAATACAGAACGTTACCAGTACATTGATCGGTTTATAATAAAACTGTCGTCTTCAATATAAAATTCATTGGCCAAATACTACAAAGTGCCTTAGCATGACTTTAGCCGAAAGGAAATACACACATTGCGTTCTAATTTTAATGTTTATTTGTGTACTTCAGTTTAAATAAAACAGGAAATCTATAAAATAAACGTAATATCCTATAAACTTGACTATACTCTTAATACCACTGGTCTTCAATATGGCTAAACTAATTTCATGGGGCATTCATTGATTGGGATTTGGGAGCTTTCGCTTTTTTATTTTTAGTTTTAGTTAGATTATTGACTTTTTATCCTCTGGGACGGCAAGGGGCTTCTGAGGGATGGTTATGGATATTTCATTAGCTTTTTTTATATGGGGAATTGTGAGAGCCGAAGAGAAGTCATATCTTTAAAAAATAATTGACTTCATATCGATAAATATAATTTATCTATAAATAAAACTGAATAGTAAAACATATGTAATTCTCTTGAAAAAATACCACGAAACTGAAAAGATATCCATCCGGTCATGAGCTAGCAAGTGTTCTCGGTAAATGATTCATACTCATATTTCCGAAAGCAATTATCACACTGTGTCACGCAATGCGCGGCCATAGAACTCAGTAAATGTATTTTTTTTTATTTCTTTTAATATTACTTACTATATTTATAATAATAACCGGTTTTATTAAAAAGATACCATTTTAAATAATTTAACCAAAATGCATTAATACGTCAATTTTTTTATTAGGGGTAGAAAAAAAATCATACAAATACTATACGCTTCACGCTTCGCCAACATTAATTTACATATTGTACAGTCTAACAATACTTTACAGTCCTAATTATAGTTTTCAATAATTAAAAGATAAAAACAATCTACTTTTGACTGAAACAGTAATTATTTATTATGAAATCAAGTCAAACAAACTCCACTTTACTTTAACCGGCTTCCAAAAAGGAGGTTATATGTTCGGTTGATATTTTCCTTTATTTTATCCTAGTACCTATTGTTAACCGGATTACACGAGCTTAAAAAAAATCTTATCGATATGACAATCGAGTGAGGTAAAAATCGACTTCCAGGATTTAATTACTTAGTTGCTTGAAGTGAAGCCAATTAAATTTGTCTAAATATGAAATCATTATCGTTAAGACACACACAGTATAAAATTAACATTCACACATATTTTCGTCCATACAAAAGGTTCTAGCTAATTACCTTAAACCATTTCAACCTGGTTTATTTGGTCACATCAAATTATATTTTTAAAGATAGTTTTAATATCCAGCATGTTGCTCCAATTGTGGGTACACGTATGCGTGTGACATATCATATTGTTTACAAAGACTTTATGGGTTCGCTACTATATTATCCTCTGTCGCACTACATGATGTGAATCTTAATGCAAATGCCTGCGAGTAGTGGAATATTAACGAGGTTTTAATATAGCGTAACTTATCCAGCTTGTTATGTCTAAACATAACAAGTCAGTGTCTAAACGGCATATCGTATAAAGCATTATTGTTCATAATGGTGATTTAAATCACTTGATAAATATACCTATCTACATAGTTATAGCAGATACGTTTTAATGGTTAGTATAGATTTCTCAGAGATGAGATATTTTCCTGCAGTAAAAAGTATCCTATATGTTGACCCGAATAACCAGCTGTCAATCATCACACTAAATTTCATCAAAATTTGTCCAGTGGCTTTCTCGTGGTGCGTTCCTAGACAGACTGACAAAAATTCTAAAAACTATAGATTCAGCATCTGCATCGATAATAATGATTTTTATTTCAATAAGATTTTCCAAAAAATATTTCATGTACAAATTTGCCTCAGATAGAATTTTATTATATGTATATAGAATATAGATTATTTACATCCACGTCATTTAAAATTTAGATGAATTCTTTAAATGCTAAAGTAAAATTGCTTTAATTAAAAGTAATTTAAAATATTTGCATACAATAAATATAGTAAAGCGAAACGCGTGATATATTAGTAAGTATATATATTTTGAGGTAACATCGAGAAATCGACAAAGAGACAAAGAATAAAAAGCAAAAAATAAGAATTCCTCCATCTTATCATAAAAACAATAAAGCAAAAACAATTTAAAAATTACACTTCATTGCTATTTATAAACAGTACAGTAGCATTATAGTATATAATCTTTATCAGATATAAAATAATATTTAATATAGATAATCTATCCTCAACAGAGTAGATACGACTATATTGTTTTCTGCAATCTAAAAATGAATAACAACAAACACGTGGCACGATGAATTTTTGGATTAACTTAACCAATGCCAATTTATTTCAGTTAAGCTATCTTTAATTATATAGATATTCCCATAGAAGTAATATAATATTTTGAATCTTTAACTCTTATTTGTTTCATATCAATTTTTTTCATACAAAATATATGAGAATCACGACGACACGTTTGGCTCAGTTTGTAGTGACCTACTTGCTGTGCCAGCGATCGCGGGTTCGAATCCCGCTAGTATTCATTTGTGTGATGAGCACGAATGTTTGTATTCCAGTCATGGGTGTATATATTTATAATATTTTTAAATATAAATTTAATATAATTCTGTATTTTCATTAATAAATTATATTTTTTGCATGTACGCCCGCTTGTTTCATTAATCTATAAAAATGATGCACACATTGAATCATTAACAGATAAATGTAAGTAATACTTTGCATTATCACTTGCGCTATCACTGACTATAGTTATCTAGTAGCTTTACATCACCCCCTTAGGTAAGATGAGGTAAGCATCACCTTACATCGATTTTTTCTATTGAAATCGATGTATTTTATAATTAGCAGCCTACCTAGATTCGTACCAGCCTTCACTATTACAATATAACAATACTCATGGCGTCGAAAAACACAACACTAAGACAGACAACATTTTTTAATGGTTTCGGCTATGGTATCGTGCAATAAACAAAATGACCTGAATATGGAGTACCTAGCTATTATGAAATTACATAAAGACATTTGAATTATGTTTATAGAAGAAAAGCCTATTAATATGTCTCTGTAATGGAAATTGGTTTATTTTAGCTACGAAAATTCACTTTCATCATATTTATTAATATAAAATAAACTTAAAATTTAAAATAAATAATAAATATTTTATTATATAATTATCAAATAACAACCACTAAAACTGTTTCATTCCAAATTCAGCAAAAATCGAACCTACTCCCTGAATGGATCCTACAAAAGATAATCATAATATAAAACTTACTTAAAAACAAGTCAATTCCGCTCACTTAGTAGCCTCAAACGGTGCATTGACTTACTATTGGTCAAACATAAATATTTCTAGCGGTCGTTAATAAGTCAGAGCCACAGTAAATGTGTCATGATTTCTTTTAGATCTCCGCTATACCGATCAATTGATCTAAGTGTCACGGTCGCACTACAGACAGCAGGATACATATATGTATGCATATATATGTACTGAACTGACTCAGTATATACTAGCAAATGAATTATTAATATTTATATTTTAAGTATATACAGTAAACCATTAGTTACATTTATAACAAAGAGGAAAATTTAAGCATACTTCAAATTTTAAACATTTCCGTAACAGACTCAATAGATAAGATTTAGTTAATAAACTAAAACATTTTCCAAAATCAACCCCTAAATGACTGAATAGAAGTTAAGATCGATAAGAAAATCTTATAAATACACAAAACCATAATAATATTATTCGGAAGGATGCATTTGGAAGTAAATACAATAATCATAACAAAAATACAATGTTTAAAATGTTTGTCTGTTTGTCTGTTTGTTCCGGCTAATCTTCGAAACGGCTGGACCCATTTTGACTGGACTTTCACTGGCAGATAGCTGTGGTTATAAGGAGAAACTTAGGCTACTTTTATTTTAGAAAACGAATTAGGGTTCCGCTCAAAAAAATTAATACGTACCTAGGGACTCACCCGAGTTAAGCGAGAGTAAGTCGCTAGTCATCTTATAATCTAAGATAATCAGATAAAAATAAATAATAATATACATATATTATAGAATTTATTACCAGTCTATGTCACGATTTTTTTCTAGACATAGTTTATATCACGATGATTATTATGGTAGTATGATTACATTCTATTCATGATGACTTATAATAAGCCACACCTCGTTAAGAGAATCGCGTATAATGTGATTACAAACGCGCTATTATTATCCTGCTGTACAAATACAAATTTATTTCACATTGATATGTTCTATTGACGTCTATGTTTTTACAAAAATAAATTGCAAACTAACAAGATTTGTATGTAATAACTGTATTTATTTAAGTTCTATACTTTATCTTTAACACAATTTATTTTAGTTATCTGTTACTTTCAGTAAAGTCTTCTCTACAAGCGAGATTCTCGTTAACATTGTTTTCAGGCATCACGATTTTTACATAGTGGCATAGTCTGATATGAGTCGGGATTTTGGTTCCACTATAGATTTGTATTTATTTACCAAACAGACAAACATAATTTTTTATTACTTTTTAATAATTTTATCAGAAACGGAGAAAAAGACAGGAAGGTGCATAGCCTATTTTGCTTATTATATAAGCAAAATCATAGTTGTATACAGAATACTTACTGAAAGGCTGGAACTTCCTGGCGTGGTACCATACCCGGATGAAGGCAGCGACGCCACCGACCATCTTCGACCATCACTACAAAAAAAAATGAGATTACAAAAAAAAAATATTTTTTATCGCTCTATCCATCTGTCTACCACATGAGGGCTAATAATTGAGGACTTACTGTTATTACCGGCCATTAGAATCGTTTAAAATCGATGATTTGGTTATTTATTGATTATTAGATATGCATTTACAATATAAGTGCGTAATATATTATATTAATCATACTTATTCGCCATATTATATAGGATATCAAAATTAGTTATTTCGCGACAAAAACGTTCCCACACAATATGGTTTGGGAAAAACCAAATTACATCGGATAACGTTTCATTGACCCACAAAGTCGAATATGACAGACGTCTTATTGCTTTTTATTTCAATTTAATCGACTCACTCTCGCTTCGCTCGGGTTCGTCCCTAGTTTGATTCTCCATACAAAATTTCATCTAAATCCCCCTACAACCTCTCAAACTCACAAACTTTACCTTTTTATAATATTAGTATAGTTATGAAAAAGTAATAATGAAACATCAGGTCTATCTCGACCCTAACTCATATCATGGTTAATCAATTAAAAACATATTATTGGAGTTGTATTATAATGTATGGTTACTATCGAAATAATTCCAAAAATTGGAAATTCCACGATGACCTTTATAATTTGAACTATACTTAATTAGCATGATAATACTTTTAATCTAAACTCATTAGCAGATGCCCCAACCACATCCACACTTTGTATAGAAGATATTTTTAAATACTATATTATTTAGTTCATTATATAATTTCGGCTTAGTGGTTAGAATTTTTGCTTCCAGGTTATAGATCACGGGTTCAAATCAAAAACGTGACAAGCATTTTATATTAGACATTAAATTATTTGTAGCGGCCTAAGTGTACGGTTTTATATTCCGTGGGTGTTTCACAGACTCCTAACACAGAGCAATCTATTACGAACTGCTGGGTCTTTAGCATTATATTAGGGCGTATACACACGAAGACTTTTAACGCATTGTAAATTCACGCGCGTTCACGCGCAATGTCATCTGCGCGATAATAAATCTGTACGTGTGCAAAGGCCCTTACATCAACAAGCTCTAATATAAGTCAGCTTATTAATTACCGTAAAGATATAACAATATAGAATAGGAATATAGAGCAAAACAACTAACGATATTGGGTAAATACTTACATGTCCTTATTCCTAATTGGCACAGACATATAGCGACAAACATTTCAATCAATTAATGTAAACATAGCATGTTTCTACAATGGCCTATAATTAATAGCGAATATACGTATCTAGCGCCTACATATAACAATCGTATATTAATCTGACAAAAAAAAACGTAAAATAATCATAACAACCCATGTAAATATTATACAATTTACTAATTGACGTTTAGAAAAAAAATGAGATTGTGTCTCATTGAATAAAACTCATCTCTAGAAAAGGCAAAGTAATCTGAAATTATCAGTCTGCGCTCTAGAAACTTCGCGGGAAATTACTCAAAATATTATATATTTTTCCACTTAATTGAATAATAAACAAAGTTACGGATGTTATAAGGATAATCAAAATTCTTAAACTAAACGCGAATGTTTTCCAGTGACAATAATGTCGTCCTGAACGATTTCAGCCACGGCGGCCAATCTCACTGACAATGAGACTAACTTACGCAGGAGATATTAAAGTGCACAATTGTATGAAAGATAATCGAGAATATGAACGATAATCCGAAAAATCCTTAGATTCACATCCCTTGGAAATTTTGACGTTAAAGAAGAACAGACAAACATTTTTTCACACTTATAATATTATATAATAAGTATATGGATTATTGACATAATAATTTTAATATACGCAGTAATTGGCATTTAATGACTTACTTTAATCCTTATAACATATAGGCAAGATTTATTAAATTACTATTAAATATTCATATGATATCCGAAAAACAGAAACAAATCTATCTCAAGGGAACTGTACATTTTTTCGGGATAGAGCTTACGTACTATTCTAGACTATAATCTATATCTTTGCCAAATTTCATCCAAAGCCGTTCAGCCGTTCTGGCGTGATTGAGTAACAAACATCCAAACATACATCTAAACTTTCACATTTATAATATTAGTCAGATAAAGAATACCAAAAAACCCGGTCGTTACGAACAATGACAAATTTTAGTAATTAGAGGTTTTGAGGACATTTTCTGTGTCATTTACAGTTAACAAAGGAATAAAATAAAAAAATATAACATATATAATAAAAATGTAATTTAAACTTTTTCAAAGGAAGGAGAAGGAGTCCATTATTTAAATTTGATTTTTTAATCGCCAGATAAAAATTATCAAAGAAACTGTAACCTGACTAAATATGGAAGTAAAACAATTGAAATATTTTATTCATAAGACTATAATTTTTAATTTGATAGTGTTGCTTTATTACTCTAGAAAGTTCTACGGTGTCTTTTATTAAGTAATACATTTTATATGCAATATCAAGTCTCAATGAATCCTTCCATCTATTTTAACGTGAAGAAGTAATAAACATACACACATACATACACAAATTTTCTAGTTAACAACTAGTTTAGTTGTAGCATAGTAAGTGTCCATCTATATACAAAAACCATAGGATCAAAACCTTAAAAGGACGAAGTTATACCTAAGGACGTTGCGTAAACAATATAATTAAGCGCATCGAAGATTATAGATACGATAATAATAAATATTTGTAAGCAAATACGATTATTTATATTTGAATCACGTCTCTATCATATTTGTGGCATTTCGATAAATAAAAAATATGGTTTACAGAAACAACATGTACCGTCCCAGTTAGAACAGTACCATATAGTTGTTATTAGAGTTTGGAATGCACAAATTAAATACTTTTTTAATACTAATAAGATTGAAGTACTTTAATTACGGAAGTTACAGTATCATTTTGACATCTCTAAATTTCCACGTCTGTTCGGCTCAATGTCTATAAATGCACTCGTAAAAAAATTAGCGACGTATTGCCTCGAAAAGCTATCGCGCAAAGTAAGCAAAACAGAAAATGTACGTGAAACCGCATACAACATTTTCTAAGTAAGCGAATTAAAAGTGCTATTTTGCATAAAATTTCAACTAATTGTTATTAATGCGAAAGTGTGTCTATGTGTTTGTATGCTTTAACCGTTTGTTTTAAAAGTGAAATGGATATTGAGAAATAGGGGATAGAAATTATAACGAAAATTGTGTTAAATGCCGAAAGCTCTTAATAGATTTACATAAAATATGGTAACGAATAACGATAACACTTAGTACCTACAGGCAGTGGACAATACTCGGGAAAAGCTTTTAATAATGCAAAATCTTTAGGTACTTCAAAATATACTAAATTTCTTATTTCAGAAAGTAAAGTTAACTTATAAATTAAAAAATATATTTACAAAAATAAAAAACACGACTGCCTAAAAGCGAACTAAAAAGATGAAAACAAGTTGACGAAGGAACGTAGTATTATGCAGTCGGAGACATAATATGTACATCTGTACATGTTTTATAATAGAGAGCGAATCTAACGATACCTCTCAAGCTAAAATCCATCAAGCCATTTAGGCTATAGAGCGTGCCAACGAAATATACATACTTAGATTCATACACTCGAAAAACATAACCCTCCTTCTGGCGCTGTCGGGTGAAAAATATATACACTAAGTATTTTTACCAATCAATGATCTCTATAAAATAGTATAAACATAGTAAACGACAAAGATTAAATTAATTAAAGACAAACATACACATAATAAACAAGTAATTAGTACGCACACGACCACCACGACATTAATTAATTGCTATGACATCAAATACACCACCAGTTATTTATACATATTTGTTATATGACGTGGGCGTATGTTTACATTTAGTTATACCTATTTTATAATACCTAAATACTTTAAATAATATCTATAGATAACTTCAACGTTTCATATCTTTCACGTACCGTACGTCACAATGACGATAAAAAATAGTTATCAATATTCTACGAACCACTACACTTTGGACCTACAACAAAATTCTTAATAAATCTTATAAAAAAATCATATGTTTAGGAAAACGACAAACATTTTTAAATAAAATTAACATTTTAGTACCAGTAACTCGTATAGTTCCTTTTTTGGTTCAGTGTCACCAAAGACAAAAAAGAACGCAAACAGACAGACAATTTGTAATTATTGGCAATAATTATGGCAGACAGTACCATTGAGTTACCTTTGCCATTAATTTTCAGGAGTGAGACATTTTCATTCCACACTATCCCGCATTATGCAGTATTTTTATTTTTATAATAGTTATGTTTTAGAACTCACAGGCACACTTTCTCTGAGAAAGTTTAATATTTGCCAACTTGAGTGGTCTTAAGATATACGTGATTGAAGCTACATCACTATCTGTTATCTAATGTTGAATACGTATTTATTTATTATTATACAAATTACATAAATGTTCATAAGTTTTAGGTAAAAAATATATAAGCACTCTCACTTTATCAGTGACTTACGCATGCCCAATTATATATTTTCTTAGCGCATTTATTATGTCGTTAATAGAATTAATTAATTATGTTCAAATACAATCAAAATGTATATTTGTTATTGAATAATAACTGACAAGTCACTAAGGGTTAAATGATTAGCAACAGCATTCTTCTGTGGTTATAACTTCAACAAAAGGTTATCTTTTCAACGTTAGTTCATAAATCTGAATCTGCACCAAAGATTGAAAGCACAAAAATATTGATTGTTTTTTTGTTTGATCGCGCTTTCTTCTAGAACTACCAGACGAATTAAAAAATAACTTTTTTTGCATTTCATTTTATTTATTGAGGTTCTTACATGACGCTACAACCCGTAAAATTGGATCAATTATACATAAATAAACTCTACGCGGGCAAAATAGTGCTTAATTATATTCAAATTCATAATATTTTATTCAATGTTAAATTATTATAATTTTTTACTAAGCGTCATAAGTCTACTACCAGTTCGGAAAGAAGAAGCCTCATACCTGAGAAGAACTTGCAAAAGAAATATATTATTTAGATATATAGTTATTCGACGTTAACTTTACCAATTTTAAAGGGAAGTGTACCTATATAAACAACATTTTAAAAGGAGTTCATTACCACAAAGCTTAGCAGATGTTACAAAAAAAAGAGCTATCCAAACACTAAGAACGCAATCAAGTAAGACGTGTCCAAGCGAAATCGTTTGGTACCTGTTTTACCATCCATCGACTAACTTGCTGCCGCTGCTTCGTGATAGAATATTTTTTGTTAGGACTTTGCAAAAACTAAACTAAACAGGTTTAACTTTTAAATTATATTCAGTTGCATTACACAGATGTTACAGGTATTAGATTTTATTCGTTACTGAACAGATAAAATATTTTATTTAGGCGTCTGTATAAATAATTGTTTTTATTGTATTTAATTGTTCTTATAATGGCCTAATCACACTTACGAATCGTAGTTGTGGTCTTAATGGATATTTAAGTGGCTTTTTTATAATTTTGCCGTCAGAATCAAACAAACAATTATTGAGAGAGAAATCTATGAAACTCGCTACTAACCTGCTAATTATTATGAAGGTTAGCCCGAGAAAATAAATGAAAAAATGTAAGATAAGCTCACTCATAGACGTTTAAGTAACTTCAAAATATGTTTTATTTCTTTTAAATGAAATAATCATCATTTTTAATTTATTACTTTTGATAAATAAAAAATAAACATAAAAGTTTATTACTAAAGTAATAAGATATAAAAAGTTATTACATAATCGCATTCAATACTTTGCATAACATTGAACATAAAAATTAAAATATCTGACAATCACTAATAAAAAAAAGAATCGGTATTAAGCTCAAAATCGATTACTTAATCGAGCTTACGCTTTAAGTGGCATCAAATGAAAAGCTGACTGGTACAAGATATAAGTAATTCTATAAAAATATTTTTTTATAGATATGTGACTAGGAGTACCTTCGGCTTTGTCCGCGTACAATCTACAAAAAAATCTCTTTGGTTTTGTTATATTAGCGACTAACCCTCGCTTCGCTCTGGTTGTTTGTTCATTTTGTTGACATTAATGATTATTCCACTCCCTTGGGTAGTAGCATGATGGCATATAGCATATAGCCTTCCTCAATAAACGTGCTATCTAATATATAAAGAATTTTTCAAATCGGATTAGTATTCTCTAAGATTAGCGCGTTCAAACAAACAAACAAACAAACAAACAAACAAACAAACAAACAAACAAACAAACAAACAAACAAACAAACAAACAAACAAACAAACAAACAAACAAACAAACAAACAAACTCTGCCTTTTTGTAACATTAACATAGATGAGATATATTTTATGGATAACATCGATTGTATTTATACTCGTAATACATAATAATTATGATATTATTATTGACTTTAACAAGTTATTTAACGACTTACCATGTTGTCATTTAAAAATGAACATTAGATTTAGACAGGTGTCATAGATAGTTCTAGATTTTTACAAGAAAGTCATCAACTCGTATAATTGGTACCATAAGCTATTTGCTTATTATTTCTCCACATAAATTCATATAATTCTAAAATTAAAAAATTAGTCTATCACTTGTTGAATATTATTTTAAATCTACATATCTCTATTTTATGTTTATGAACATTTCAGATTTTAAGTCTGTAAGTTGATTGTTTGGATACCTACAGGTAAATCATAAACAAGACTACATATATATATTGTTGGAACAAAATGTAATAACGTATTTTTTAGTTAAAGTTATCTCCCAAGTTTTTACGGTATCTGTAGCAGAAATCTAAAACTGTAGAAGGTCGGAAAAAACTTGAAAGTTAAATATGGCTGAAACGATAATTTCCGTCACAATTTTTAGGGTTCCGTACACAAAGGGTAAAACGGGACCCTATTACTAAGACGTCGCTGTCCGTCCGTCTGTCACCAGACTGTATCTCATGAACCGTGTGCCGTTTTTATAGACAATGGTATGGAACCCTTCGTGTGCCAGTCCGAATCGCACTAGTTTTACTTTTTCACAATCGTAACAATATAAACTATTTGCAAAAAATATATTTCATATATCCACAAAAGAAATTTTTATTCACTAGAAAAAGACAAAATTTTCAGTAAATTGCAAAAAGCGAATGCTTGTCCTTTTCTAGTCAAATACATATATGGCGTATATACCTATGTGTATGCGCCGAATAAATAATAAATATGTTGAGACATTAACACATTACACACAGCGCCGTTTACTTCCATGGTAAGATACGAGGCTTGTGTTATGGATATCAAATAGTTGATACACTACACATATATAACTTTTAAATACATACACATAATAAATATAAACACCCATGACTGGAGTACAATCATTCGTGCTCATCACACAAATGTATGCGGGACTCGAACCCGCGACCTCTGGCACAGCAAGTAGGGTCACTAAAAACTGAGCCAAATTTGTCGTCCGAAAAATACTATTACTTAGATACTATTAAAAATTTCAAAAATGTTTTGTTTGCACGCGCTAGTTTCTGGAACCATCAATCAAATTTGAAATAGTATTTGTAGCATTTTTATAGCCTATTTGCTAAGCAGATATTATGGCCTAACAGCTACTAAACCTTACGACTGAACTGAACAGGTACCCATGATATTTAGACTCAATGAACTACAACAAAGCACTAGGCAATAATAATCTAGATAATAATCTAGCTAACACAAATGTGCGTATAATATGCGTGTAACTTACAGTTCCTTCCCTCTTTTCACGCTAGAAGACAGTAGCGCGTGATGTAGTGGGTGGGCGTGGTGGGCGTGCCACCGTGGGCCCTCTGCTGGGGAGAGAGGTCCTGTGCCGGGCGAACTGCACCGTCCAGAGCCCACCTGAAACAAATTGAGATATTTAAAACAAGAAAACAGCATACCGTACCATTATAAGAAGCTAACACTAAATTATGTCTTAGAAAGTAGAGTTAACTTTTATTATGCAAAATGTCTTTTAATAGATATTTTATTCTTCAAAATTATACACTTGATTAAATGTAATATGTGTAGTGTAAAATATGTATATATTGTTTCACTTCAGTAGGATTCAAGTATTTCTAAAACTACTTTTTCTTATACTTATATAAAAAAAAGTTATTTAAAAGACAATACAACTAACCTATACTATATTTCATTGTCCTTTTACTACATTCCATCATAATTAACGATGGGAAAATCAAGTAACTATATTGAGTCACTTTATAATAGAAGTATTAATGAAGCAATTTTAATTCCTACTATTTGTCATAACGATAACGTTTGATCTAGTAACAATGAATTGATACATAAACATGTGAAACAATACTTGTGTAACCTACCTACATTTACTAACAACCATTTTTAGAATTAATACATCAATGATCAAACATCATATAACTTATCGATTAGTTTCATTAGACCGTCCAAATAGTTTCTTATATAGCCTTGAAAGAAAAAACTTCAATACCCGGAAATTATTGTTGGACAAAAGCTACGAGTATATCCATCAATTCTTAAGAACATTTAATTGTTAGAATAAAATTGTGTTCAGGCCTTTTTAACGCCCCACTACAGGGCACAGCTCTTATACCACCACGCTAGTCAAGTGCAGGTTGGCGAACTTAACATGTCTCTCGAAAACTCGTTAGGTTCTCCCAGACATGCTGGTATCGTCCAACGGAAAGCAATAAAATTAGCGATTTTAAGCATAATTTAGTAGATTTAAACAAAAAAACTTTTATTTAAAATGGTTAAATTTTATTTAGCTCAAATTAAAAAGCCAACTAGAACATTTTCATACAATTTCATGTTTAGTTATTAAAGTTAAGCATTGCACGGCCTCATGTATAGTACGTTCTATCAACAGTGAGTCTGGCTGAGTAAATATCAGTTTGATACTCTGTTTATTTGCTTACGATCTCAAAGGCTTTTGCTCTGCACGTCGAAGCTATATGCTATTCTTGTGAAAATCGATTATAGCGTGTAATCGTTAAAAGATGCAGTATTTTCTGAAAACATTAAAACGATAGGCAATATGTAACAAGAGGATATATTTTTGATTAAATACAATTTTCCAGTTCAATTTCGTGATTAATCAGTCAGGGAATACGTATTTATATATACCTACACAACTAACAATTTACCATCGCTTCGCTTCCGTGCATCTCTAAGGATAAATGGTTTAGAAATGCATAGACTCATAGAGGACAAAACATACAAATAAAACTGTTTTTAATATAGATAGTCTTTTAAATAGAAACCTTTTCATAGGTTTTTTCATCGGTTCGTATTTCATTAGGTATTCGTAGAATAACTCACTAGAGTTACATCACAATCGGATGAGAACAGATTAGAGTACAAACATACAAAGAAACATACATTTTTATTTATATAGATAGGCCAAGAGACAGAGTTCTATGAATGCTTCTAATCACTATGATTCATTAACCTCATACTTAGCTGGTTAAAATGTAAAGAATGAAGATAATCTGAGCCAGCCTTAACCCTCGTAAAGGTGCCTTTGTGTCATGTCAAAAGCGTACTCAGAAACAATATGAGCAACAAGTTGCCTTGTTAACTTCCTTTTGCTAAATTTAAACTAAAAAATTCCTTTTCCTTTGGCGTACTCTGCATCTTCCTTTATATTTTCTCTTTGCGTTAAGATCATTATATCTCCAAGCACTAATAAAAATTATGAATAAATGGTTTTTCATTATTATTAAAAGTTTAAACAAAATGAAAATTTCCACTTTACCAAATTTGTTATTTACCAGAATTTTATTATATGTATAGATAAATATATATTTTTATGTATAATAATTTTAATATGAATATAATTTATTTTTATTTTTAATACTAAAGATTCGCACATCCGCGACACACTTCCGCTACACTCAATTGTCCTATGTATTGACTTACCCCTCAGTCACGCCTAAAGAAGTTTTACTTCATAAACTTTAATTTTAACATTAACTTTACCTATTGGTGTTTGATATAAGCTTATCAACAATTGATACTTTCTCTTAAATCATTTTAAACTATTAAGAAGTTTTAATAGTGAATGCATAAATCTCTGTCACATAAGTCCGTTACGTGTGAAAGCTTCTCATCATTTCTGCTGTACGTTGTTGATTTACCGTTTTAACTACACTTTAATTACATATAATCTGTTGAGAAAAATCTTGGTATACTAAAGTAATGTTCCATAAAGATAACTCATTAAATTTTAGCCCCTGAATAATCTATGTAACATATAATAAAATTCTATATATACATTAAATATTTTTTGGAAAATTTTATTGTTAATAGTCATTATTATCGATACAAAGGCCTAATCTAAAGTTTTTAGAATTTTTGTATGTCTATCTGATGTCTCTCTGTGACGCACATCACCACATCACGAGAAAGCCACTGGACTAAAAATTTGGCATATTATAATATGGTATAAAATTTGGTGATAGCTGGTTATCCGAGTCAACATATAGGATACTTTTTACTGTGGGAAAATATCTCATCTCTGAGAAATATATACTAAACGTTAAAACGTAGCGTAAGTCGCTAGTAAATAAATAAATCTAGATTTAAATTACATAGGTATGTTAAAACTTAAAAAAAATATGTCACAACAAAACTGGGAGAATTTGAAAATTATTATATTCATAGAAAGACTATAGGAGATACGGGAAGCAATTTTTCTTCTTATTCTTATTTCCATTCGCTGTAATAGCTTTGGTCGCATTAACAAGAAATTCTTTTGTACTCATACTAAATTGAATGTCTCTGACATAACACTCATTTAAATTTTATTAGACTTTTCATATTGTCTTGCTCTGCTCGCTCAACAGTGGTCTCTTTAAAATCGACCTTTAGAAAAAATAAAACAATCAACATCCAATTTACTACTGTGATCTAGAAAACAATGTACTAATGTTTTTTTTTCTTTGTTACAGCTATTGACTATTGAGTACTAGATTAGTGAGTTCGACCATTTCTCGTCTATTTTGATCACCGCTTATTTAACGGGAGTAACCCACAAAACCCTGACGCTGTGATGTACTGCAGGATTTCCTTAGAGGATACACTCCATAATTTCATCTGGGCCTAGAAATTGTTTCCCAAGATGGAAACTTGTGCATAAGAGGTCCACATTCTCTCAGAAGATGCAAGTGGCGTTTTATCTGTCTCCATACATCTTTTTCAGGTTTTTGTGTTACTCAACCTTAGGTTGAAAATATGCATGTGCAAAAGGGCATCATAATAAAGATACCTAATAAGTATTTAAACGCTAAAGCATATCAAAAAGCTTATTACTCTATGCCGATATGAATTGTGTGTGAATTGTTATATAAATTACGTACTTTACTAATAAGAAATTCTTTTAGTGCAATAGAATGTAGAACGTATAGTAATTAAACGCTAATACTGTTGAGAAAGCTCGTTTCCACGATGGTATGTAAGAAGTTTCATTTGATGAAAAGGAAAAATCGGTTCGACCGCATTTCTCGAGCGCTATATACAACGTAGGTACACACGTACAAGTTTCTATGTTTGTATACAACGGTGTGGGCGTGTGCCATGGATCTCCTTGATATGGATTTTGACACCATGACTCATGGACAGCAGAGGCGCGGCCATATAATTTTGTATAGGAAAACATATAATTATATTTCATTTTTTTATCGAACATCATCACACTAATATTATAAATATTAAAGAGAGTGCGTGAGTGTGTTTGTTATTTTTCCCCGTGCAAGCAATTAGGTTGTTTTTAATCTACGCACCTACCACCTAAAGAATAATTATAGTATATATATCGATGTACGATATATTTGACCCTGGCGCAAAAAGAGGGGTGTTATAAGTTTAACGTGTGTATCTTAGTGTCTGTGAGTGGAATCGTAGCGCCAAAACAGATGAACCGATTTTAATTTAATTTTTATTCGAATGGTGACTTTATCGAGTGTTTTTAGTCATAAGCCGTTTGCAGGCTACCTACCAGTTCTTTTCTAGGCGGTAAAAGGATATGAGCAACTTCCGCTAATATCTAATAATTCAAAACTTCGTATCGCGTTACTTCAATCATTCAATGACATTGCAACGATATGGTAACCTTCGGCTATGCTGAAGCTGCAGTGGCACATGGTATATGCCTGATACTCAACTCTTTACTAAAATACTGTAGAGATAACGTGTTTAGGCTCACTGAAAAGGCCTCAATGAATAGGTTATTGCGTTGCGAGTTCTTGAATTTTTTAATTAATCCTTATATACCAAAATGTAATAAAATTAGACTTCGTGCAAAAAACGTAGAGCTTAATCTGGAAGATATATCAAGCTTTAAAGCTTTAAGATATGTATAGAGGTCGAAGGGCTCCTTATTTCATGTTTAACTACACAATTACTGACATAGCATGTAATTTAGCATTAGAGAGAGAGAGAGAGATAGCAATAGAGAAGTAAACATCTAATTAAATCTCATATTAGAAAAATAACAGATAAAAAATTAAACGTGAACGCATAACGGCATCACAATACGGTACTGTATACGAATTTACATTAAATTACATTCAATGTCAAATGCACTTTTCAAACATACGAGATATTGAATGCATTCGCTCCAGGTGCGTCTCGGAAGCTATTTTAAAGTCACTCTGCTAACTATAGAATTCAAAGAGGAATTAACTGTGTGCTAGTTTATGACCGCGGCTTTACTTGATAGGTATGTTGATAAAAATAGAATAGCGCAGAATATAGCTCTTTCTCCGTATTCTTTCAAAAAACTTATCATAGCAGCATATTACTTCTAGTGCGTTATAATATACCTAATAAAAAAATTATGTCATAATAATTAATTTCGTTTTCTTTAGTTTCTTAGGTCGCTCTTGTTTAAGAATCTAAAATTATCTGGATATTCATGACAATTAAGACCGTGAATTCGATTCCTGTCATTTGCAATTTATTTTCAATCTACAAATGGGTAATTTGTGCGTTCTTTAGAGAAAACCTTTGATGAGTTGGTATAGCTAAATTATTTTTTATATAGTCCCAATAATAACATTTGTAACTAATGAGCTAGCGGAAAATTTTAAAGACACCTACTGACACTGTAGCAGCAGCGTTCACACTGATTAACGTAAACATATATAAAATTAGCTACAGTGCAGCCAAAATAACAAGGATGACTTTATGTAGAGTGAGAGGAGTGTAGTAGTAGTATAGCAAATAATAATTATCTTAAGCATATTGACAACTGTCATATAATTACCAAGACAACATCGACAGATGAGAAATTATAATCTTCACTAAAGGTTCCCGCTCTAAGTAATGCTTGCTTCCTTCTGGTTAAAACAAGCTGCGCTTTTACGAGTCTCTGTCTCATATACCTACCTACAGCTTCTCTTTATAGCGGTATAAAAATTATGTTCTCTTTACATAGCAATAAAAATTAAAGAGTTAAAATTATATTTAAACTAGCGACTTACCCTCGCTTCGCTCAGGTGCGTGGTCTAGTTACGTGGATTTTGTTCACAATGTCTTGGGTTTTAATTTTTTGACGCGCAAACCTGATTATTTTTCTAAAATCAAGGTAGCCTATGTTACTCCTTATAACATCAGCTATCTGCCAGTGAAGGTCCAGTCACAATCGATCCAGTTTTGGAGATTAGTCGAAACAAACAGACAGACAGACAAACATTTTTTTAAATTGTTTTTTTTTTCTTACAAGTACCGTATATACCTACTTTCATATGCATTTAGTAAAAAGCTGTTAGTTTGATATTACAAACAGACACTTCAATTTTATTGATCTATGTGTATAGATTTATTATCTATCCTATTTGTAAAATACGTGATAATTTTTTTTAGGATTTTTATCACCTAACTCACATAACGTAAATGAATATTGCGAAACTATAATATTCCTATGCGTTTGTATGAAAAGTACAAATAAAATACTAGCAATTGATTCGCTTCGCACGAAGAACGATGACATTCGCAATATTTGCGATATTGCATACCGTCCATACAAGCGAATTCACGTTTCTGACATATTGCATTTGAAAGTTTCTAATTCTAAATATCATTTAACATCGATAAGAGATTACATCTATACATATAATAAAATTGTAACTGACCTGAATCTGTACATTAAACATATTTTTTTGGAAAATCTTATTGCAATAGACATTATTATTGATACAGAGGCCGAATTTATAGTTTTAGAATTTTTGTCTGTCTGTCTGAGAACCCACCACGAGAATACCACTGGACAGATTTTGATGAAATTTGGTATGATGATAGCTGGTTTCCGAGTCAACATATGAGATACTTTTTACAGCAGGAAAATGTCTCATCTCTGAGAAATCTACACTAAACGTTAAAAAATAACTAAGAAAGAACCCGAAGGGAGCGAGGGTGAGCCGCTAGTTTATTATATACAGTGCTAAATAAATAGCTTAAATGGGTAAAATCTAAAATTAAATAAACGTAAAATAATTTTTCCTCTTTTATAATGTCGGAAAACAGCGCTTCATGAAGTTATAAATTACTTTTAATTAGATAATAATACTCAACTGATTTTCAATTATAAGAGTTAAGCGGTTCAATTATTTCTATTATAACATTCATCAAACACTGCGTTGTTTAAAAAAATTAAATTAATCATCACTTAATATGGAGAGTGTTTTTGTCGGTGTGATCTATTCAAAACAAATACTTATTTTTACCAACTTTTAGATGTTCTAGCGACTTGGAACTTTGCAGAATGTAAAGTGGATGACGTATTCGACTAATTTGGTACCCTTGATTTAACTTGATGGAACCAGGTGGATAGAGAAACTGCAACGCCTACTAAAATCCCCTCGAGCTTGGACTCAATTTGTTTGTTATAAGTAGTTTTAATGAAATTACAGTTGTGTATTTTCATTGTTTTGAAACTATAATTTACATAGATAAAATATACTAGGGTGAAATAGGCTCTACATTCCGAAATATTAAGTAGTTTAAGGAAGATAGTAAGAATTGATGATATAAACTTACCACGAGGGAAAGTCGGTGATGTGGTGGCGGAGGTGGTAAGCGGGATGGTCGTCGGGACACCGCACATTGCTCTTTCTGTAACATATTATTTACATTAGAAATGTCAAACAACACTATAACTACATTCATACTAATATTATAAATATGAAAGTGTGTTTGTTAGGTTGTTTGTCCTTCTTTCACGTCGAAACGAAGAGACGGATTGACGTGATTTTTTATGTGGAGATAGTTGGCGGGCTGGAGAGTGATATAGGGTACCGCGGGAGATTATCTAATTCCTACGGGAATACACATTATAATAGAATCTAAATAAATATTTTTGATCAGAATTACTTGAAATTTGGTATTAATGCTCTTCGATAAAATTAAATAAATACGTGATTTAGCATTTTTCTAAATTCATTCTATAAGAGGGTGAAATAGGGGACGAAAGTTGGTGTGAAACTACCTTTTTACGTGAAGCCGCGGGTTCTACTAGTAATATATAAATATGTAATAAACAAATAGCTACCTGTAAAATTTCAAGACAGTTTCTCTAATCGATTTTATAAATAAAACTAAATTATCATTTCCATTATAATATTTAGATCCAAAATTAAAACAGCAATTAATACTTCATTTTAATCGATTTTACAACCAAATCAGGTTACATTAGTTCAATAGTGTCTCAAGAAGTCTATACAAACAAAGGTTTTAAGTAAAAAATTGTAATAAAAGTTGTAAGAGCAACCACATACTGCAGATATTATATTAGCTTTCGTAATCACTAATCAGCATGAAATATTACTTATAAGTAATAAATACGCCCTCCTACGTACTTTATAATGAATCGGTATTGGACATTGGTCGATAAACAAGGTTGGTTGGTTACATTTTCATATTATTAAACCACATTACAAACCCGATTTGCAATTATCGGTCGATAGAAAGTCTGCTTTATATACATGAAAGGCTTTATATTACATATTTATGTGCATATATGAATAGTTTTCTCACCACGTGGATAGACAGAGTCGGTGCAGATTTGCCGAGCGCGGATCGACGCATACGCACAAGGTTGCTGCGGACCTTGCTTGAGGCATCTGTTGAAAAATAATATAAATAATATAGATACATAGTACAGTACATAATAAAAGAATAGTTTTATTTCTTAATATTTTTACAATATGTTCGTACGAGACTTTCCAGTAAGTAATCCGAAGATGGTTGTGTTGGGAAAATAATATCCCATCAAAAACATTTTCATGTAAAATATTGTCAAGACTAGACCATATGGCTCGCACTGTCAAAAAGTTATCAGATCTCATGTAGAGCCAAGCTTCTAGCTCTACACGCCCTAACTCTACAAGTTCTAACTTTACAAACTCTACACCTTTCTCAAAATATGTGGCTTGGCCGTTTCGCTACCGTCAGATGGGCGTAAGATGAATAATTTATTCACTCTTTTTTACTTTCCGGACGTACCCTAAGAATTTTGATGATCATTAGTGAGTCAGTGACGAAATTGGAGGTTTTTAGATATCAATAAAATCTAAAGTATAAAAGCTATGAAATTGAAACTTTACATGTTTAATAAGTTCACTATTGACATCATATTCCGAGAATTTTGTTTATCTGGTATAATCCAAACCAAAGTTATAAGGGTTCAAAAAAACGACGAAGCGCTTCGAGAAAAGGTAGGTAGTGCCCTTGCGCTTCGCTTTGCTCATCTTGGCGGGGGCATTACCGTGCCCCCAGATAAATTAAAATTACGTTTGTATTTGTTCGGGCTAATCTCAGAACCTACTATATGGATTTTTATACAGTTTTCACTGATAGTAATAAGAATTTAGAAAAGAAGAAAAAGGAAGGTTATAACTTTGCAAAAATAATATACGTACGTATGATGATATTTGTGAATTACATATGTTGGAAACAATCGTCTCCTCTAGGTATGCACTCGAGTCGCGCGGGGCGAGAGGAGAGAACTAGACTGCTAGCGCGAGGCTAAGCCACTAATTGATTCTATGCATAATAAAAGGGAATGAGGTTTTAAAAGACCATTGATACAAGGTATATATGAGTAAACAGTGATTAAACTTTTTCGCATTAAAAGTATAAAAAATTCTATCTAAATATTATCAGGTACAATTTTTTCAGCTTTGATTTTTCAATTAAAAAACTCCTTGTACTTTACATAATTAATAATATCTTGTACATTATAAAAATAATCTTTAAAATCAATCTATAAATCTATAAAAATATAATCATGTACATTATGCACATAATATATTTGAGTACTTTGACGCTTGTAATATAAATAACGTCAAAAAGAAAACATATTTACGTAAAAAAAGAAACTTAACTATTGGCGCTATATTAAAAACTCAGTCGCGTCTCAATGTGATTATGTGAGAGCATGTTTACGCTGCGTTGTGTCACACCTCCGCGAACAGAATACATGTTTATAAATAGCCTGATAAATTTATCATTATATTATAGTACATAATAACAAAATCCCTTCTTGCTTATATAAAATTAATCGATCTTTTCGTACAAATTAAATATCAAAACAATTTAAACATTAAACATATTGATGTTTGTCGGTGCATCTAATTTAATATTTAAAAAATATACGATTTTATATAAGTAAAGATCCATTTTTCATTGACATTTTAATAGTCAACATCTATACATATAATAAAATTGTAAGTAAGCCGAATCTGTACATTAATTATTTTTTTTTGAAAATCTTATTGAAATAAACATTATTATCGATACAGAGGCCGATTTTATAGTTTTTAGAATTTTCGTCCGTCTGTCTGTTACCGCATCACAGAAAAACCACTGGAGGGATTTTGATGAAATTTGGTATGGAGACAGCTGGTTACCCGGGTCAACATATATAAGAATACAAACAAAAATACAAAAACTGCAATGTAAGAGTATACTAATATGTAAAACCTAAGAATTTGGTTTTTGGTCATCTGAACGCGGGCGGAGCCGCGGGCGATGCTAGTAAAAATATATATAAACATTCTATTAGCTACTGAAGAATAATTACTTTCTTACAAAATAGGTACGCACACCTTTCACCTGCCCTAATTACTTTAAACACGCAACGGAGTTAACCTTGAGACTTGAGAGAAATTATCCAGTTGGCAAAGATACCTCATAACAGACACATACAAAAAAAACATACGACACAAATTGAGTTCTTTCCCTTATGAAATCGGTAAAAAATTAAAAACTTCATATATTCCAGAAAACTACGTTCATTGTAACATTAGTTCGGCGTTGTCTCATCTGCCAGAACCATACCAGCATGTAAAATAACATCACGTGGCCTCTTGAAACTCATCCAAATATTTGCTGTTTTTACGTCACATCTACAGTTTATGTTCTTTAGTAAAGATGTTAGTAGTACTTAAAAATGTATAAAACCTAATTTATTTAAGTAGTGATAACAAATTATGTCTATTCTTAGTCGATTTCAATTACGTAAAAATGAATATTTTCATTGTTATTTTCTAATCTGTAAACCATCATTCATATACTACTCGTATCTCTCAAAAACCTCGTCTCGCTATCCAAAAATAATAATTTAATTTGCTACCAATTTATGCCTCATTGATAAATAATAACATAACGAATATTCATTGATTATATTAAAAGTAGGTAATGTAATCCATAGGATAAAACTTTTTACATAAAATGTATCAAATTAGTCTAGATATAAAATTAGGTTTGCGAAGTAGGACTTCAATTTAGAGGCTCATTTCGTCAGACGGTACCTAATTTTTGTCCCTGAATGCCCAAAAGCTATATCTATCGTGTACGGATAAACGAATATTGCCTCCATCTTAATAAATGAGATCCTCTCAACTTGAGAAAATATTTCTATATTTGGGAACTTTTCCCCTAATATTGATTAATATTACTGTTTTTGGCAAGAACATATTTGAGTGGGCAATTCTTATGTATTATAATGAGGGCACAGCCCATTTCCTGTAAATATGCATGCCAAATATTTCTCGCATGGGACTACCGGATATTAAACTAAAATAAAACTTACCACACCTTCTCACGCAACATATTTGAAACCATGAAACTTTATATCATCGTTGTTTAACAAAATTAATTTCTTAATTCCTATTGCTTCAAAATTATTGTTAAACAACACGCTTTATACATATAACTGCATATTTTGTGTATTATTTGCAAGTAGCAGGTAGGTATAGATAGTCATTTCAAGTTTTTATTCTTCAAAGTGCACGTCACTGTAAGAACAAATGGACGATATTCAATGATATTACTTTAAAAGTTTATATTATTCTTTGAAATTTACGAAAAACATACACTACAATTAATTGTAAGTTTAATTATTTAACATACTCCTCCTTTTTGAAATCGGTCAATACACACTATAGGTATAGGTATTAATAAATTATATGAGTAATCAGTGACATGTATACTGAATAACAGCTGTATTGCTAGTACCTAAACTTATTGTAGCACTTCCTTCAAGACTCGATTCACTCCATCAAATATCTATCGACCATAACCAATAACGATGTATCGTGTATCTACAATTTTAGTTATGTAAATTTCCACAGATAAAATTATGACACTACTAATATTTGTTAAAAAATATAATTATAAATCTTCATTCATCATACTGCTGTTTATTTTTAGCGAAAGCCTGCATTTTCGGCTTGGATTCCTATAAGAAATTATATTGTAAGTTACCACCACGGCATCTTAATTTATGTGAGCAAGTGAGAAATAAATATAAAATAATCTCATAATCTCTATGACTTATAAAATTAAATAGACATGTTTTACGTTCTTCGTAACACCTTTAACGTACTCTAGTTTTCCATAATTATTAATTATCAAAATGATATAAACTGTAATACGTTTTTTTTAATTTAAGATAATTTCGGTGCCTGGTCTCTTTTCTTCAAAATTAATGTATAATTTTGTGGGTAGACGCTGTCTGTAAAACAATATAATAGCGTAGACGTCAAAGACTTTAGTATCTCCCGTAAGCATGATGGCTATAAAGTATAAAAGCATTCGAATGGTCGGAAACCTAAAATCAAAATAAATCCGCGGAAAAATTTGAAAGTTTTATTTTTTACTATACTTATCATAAGTGCAGAAAACTATGATTAGTCTCTATGTTCTAAATATAAACGTACAACTATAACTATCACAAAACGACCAACGTATCCTAAGAAGAGCAACACAAAAATAGTATTATATTTATTTAACAGTAATTTTTAGACTAATTGGATCGTTTGCGGTACGCTTTTCTGGTTGTTTGGTTCTGCCTTAATTATAGCATACGTCATTAACTCAGTAATTAATATATGAAACGAAACGTGATTTTAGCATTGCCTAGAATACTTGTAAAACAGCGAGGGAATGAGTCGTGTATTGTTTATTTTTTTTTAGTAAAATTTCGGACCTTAATTAATACAAACTTCGGAAAAATCTAAAAGTGCCTTTTCTATACATTTTTTATATGATGTCAAAGATCATAATGATTAATTGAGACACGACAATGTCTGTCAGGCACTTTTATAATAAATAACTCGCTAGTTGGATTCTTACTAAAGTATAGACTATAGATTATAGAGGTTACGGTCTAATTAAAGAAATTATTATAAAACAATGGAAAACTAAAAAATATATTCAAAAATTATCTAACCCCGCCATGGAGAAAATGATGACATTGGAAGAAGTAATACGGGCATAGAGGCCGTAGTTAGTAGGTACTTGGTAGTCTTTGTTTTACTCTCTGGTTGTCCCACAAGGGAATCAATATATTTAAGCGATTTAAATAGCCTTAACTGTGAATTTCAAATACTTTTGTCTAAAATGTCAGTCGTATTATATTTATAAAATACAGCAGAATGCGGCTTCGCCCGCGCTCAATTTACATTTTTTTTAAATAAATAAAGACCAGACTTTAAGAAAAGACACTAAAAATTAAAAAATAACTGATTGGTAGTATTCATTTACTATAGATACCTAATCAGATATTTTGCAAGTCGGTGCGCTTTGATTTGTATCGGCTGGAATAAGGTGACTAAAT